AAACAATCTGGGGACTTATTGACTTTGCTCATTATTTTTCTCCTCTGTTGATTTATCCAGCCCAGAGAAAAGGGACGCATGAGATTTCATCGACTGCAGAATGTCCAAATAGCGCTGGACTTCCTCAAACAGAGACAGGTATGCACACAAACGGACAGGAACACAACTGAGTGTTAATAAACCACTTTTATATAGTTCAACGTTCCAGATTTTCACCTAGTTTCAAAAGCTAGTGATTGAAAAACGACTCATTTGAGAAAATGAAATAATAAAACTACAGACTGAAATTATAGCAGATGTGTTTGAGTATTTAGCTGGGAAACCAATTTACAAAAAAACCTTTCCCCCTTTTCAGGTCAAACTTGTGAACATCAGGAACGATGACATCACCGACGGGAACCCCAAACTGACGCTCGGCCTCATCTGGACCATCATCCTTCACTTCCAGGTCTGTGCCCTTTACATGCTGCTCTGTAGCTGCTGGCTACGCCTCCTGCGCTGGGACTCATTTCCTTATTTCTGTCCAACCAACATGAACATTACTTCATTGCATTACAATTTTCTATTTGAATAAGTCGTGAATAGAAATGTCTGCCTCTTAGTCTTTGCGTCAGTGTGTTTGGTCTCGACATTCAGTTGTTAGTGTGTTCTGTCAGATTCCGGATGTGGAACTAGATGTGTCCTGCCAACACAGTTGTAATTGCATTTAAAATCATTACAGCGGGACTCTGTTACGGCTGAGACCCAGTCAGGCCTGACAGGCCAACACGAATGAATACGAAAACATTCTGAGCGTCTAATGACCCTTTTTTTTGTCCCGATGATGTCAGAGAAGCTGACGTACCAGTGTAGTTGCTGTGGTTGACCACTAGATTGTGCTGCTATGTGACCTGTGGCAAGGTGACACTGCCAGCTGGTTTCCATGGAAACCGTAGTGCGTGACACCCTGGCAGCCGTTTCACTGGCCATGACTCAGCAGAACACTGTGTTGAGCAGAGAGAGAGTGGAGGGATGGAGGGATGGAGTGATGCAGGAGGATGAGAGTAGTGGACTGACCCAAATTAAAGTGGACAGGACCGAGGCTGCAACAAGCTGCGAGGAGGGAAACACTGTATATACAGCAGGAAAGATGGAAAGATGTGAAGAAAAGGGAATTTAAAGTTGCCACAGTTGAACGGGTTCATGAGATGACAACAGTTATTTATTAGCAGCTGCAGTGAGTTGTACGGAACTCTGAGTCAGCGCAGTGTATAGTGGTGAGACAATTATTACTGTAAAGGGATGGTTGTGGTTTGATATATATATATACTTTATGCAATATATAGGTTGGATTTAACTTCAAATATATTTTAAAAATGTAATCATGTTCTTTCTGCTCTCATCAAATAGACTTTGAACAATAGTACATTAGATTTAGTGCAGTAAAATTAAGGAAATATTGTAATAAAATGCTTTAAAATATTATATATATCTTGAGTAACACATATGTGTCATGGCGACTCAGCAGCTGCTTCAAGATAAACATAATAATAATCCGGTATATCCGGCACAATATCCACCAAAAACATGTGCATCTAATGATTATTATTCATTATTCACAAGATATTTGACTCTAATAGATTCCTACAGGACGCTTTGGTCTGATGGAGGATGTGATGATGAAGAAGTCGTTCCTTGAGCCAAGCCTCCATGACTAACGTGCCAACGAGTAACTCAGCACATCACAGAATTCTAGAGGCTCTCAGTGAGCTTTTATTTTTCATGATTCCACTGGCAGTCACCTCTGGCTCACCCGCATGGAACTGCTCCTGGTATTCGTCATGTCTCACAGGCAATCAGAAATCTTTCCTCCAAAACAGCGGACGTGTTGCCCTTCAGAGCACGCCGACACGCTTCTAGCACCTTTTAAAAGAACGCCAGTTCACAGTAGTAAGATGCTTTGACCAGCATCATTCGCATGTTCTCCATCATTGGGAATCAAACCTTTTATGCGTGACTGTAGTTCTCAGCCCAGCCAGCTGGTGGCACCAGTTAGCTCGGGGTCAAAGAGGAGGCAGTTAAACGGAGCTGCTGGTCCCCACGGAGTAGTTCATCAGCGTTTCTGTGACTTGCCTCCAGGTGGTATCCGCTGGCGGGGGCCCGTTATTAGTGCCGATCCTCGTCACTGATTGGGCCCGTTGGTGCACCGATTCCTGGCCAGTTGTGTTAGAAGGGACTTTGCTGTAGACACGTGTGGGCGCCCGCCATCGAGCGCTCCATACATCACTGTACTTCGTAGAAAACAAATTCTAGTCAGTTTTTTTCGGGTCTGATCAGTTTTTTCCGCTTTCCTTGGTTTATGATCTAAGAAGAGGTGAAAGGTTTCGCCAGAATGGATTTCGTTTTCAAATGTATTTCAATGTATTTTCTACCAGGTGAGTGGGAAAATGTCCAGTGAGTGGGAGAGTGCATGACATGTGTGTAAATTAAAGACTTCCGGTGGTGGCGCATTCAGCCCCTTGTGGCCGACACGGGTACTACAACAACAGACAGTTCAGGATTACCAGATATTTTCTCCTCACATTCAGGTCTTCTGTAGTATTAGCCGTTACCTGATGTCATAATTTCTTCCTTTTTTATCAGTGATCAGAGCCATGTGATTCAAAACATTACGCGGTTGTCGATGTGAGGTTGAAAATGGGGCAAATTTAACGACAAGTGGCTGGAAGAGGATGCATTTAGGAGGTGGTTGGCGCGATTGAAAACAACAATGAGGCAATGTGTAAACTATGCAAAAAGACCTTTTCACTAGGGGCCGTGGGGCTCAAAGCCGTCGAGTCGCACATGAAAGGAGGAAAGCACCAGCGATACGTTGCAGCAGCATTGTTTGCAGCACGACCCAACGACGTTACAAGTTCACACGCCACCTCTCAGTCAGCTGTTACAAGTGTGTGTTAAAAAAGTTTTGATTTACATTGTAGGAGGCAATAAATTGCCTATTCCAAAGAAATTGTGACATTTTGGGGTCTTAAATAATATTTTTTGAGGTCTTAAAGTCTTAAAAAGCATTAAACTTTACTTTTGAAATGGTGCAAGAACCCTGTGTTCTCTTTCGGTAAGTGAAGGAAGATGGATCAGCATTGCTTCCCCCGCCCCTTAGTGGTCTCCATCCATATCAGTCTCTCTGAAAGCATTCACCAGTAAGCACTTACTTTAAGTACGAGTTCATACATCTTTGGTGCTGCGCTGTTTGACTCGTGCGCATTGATGGCGGTTAGGAATCTTACTGCGGCTGAGTTACAAATCAGAAGGCTGTTCTGTGAGAAATAAGCATCTCAACTTGTGTCTGCTTTCCAACGGCGTTTCATTCTTTCATATCTGTAAGGACTGTGACTGGTTTTATTTCCACTGTCGAGTTATCTGTGAATTGTTTTCTGATCAATCTATAGGCCCCGAAAATCAATGTGACGTCTGCCGGCCATTTGTTTCATCCGATTAGTGCAAAGAGATTAGCAGAAAATGGTCCCAAAAAAATGTTTGGCACAAATGATCCGACCCGTTAATAATCGTTTGAGCACTGCAGTAATCGTTTGTAGATTTAAATAATCTGATTGAAAAGAGCTGTTTGGGGTTAATCCAGTGGCTTAGATGATGTAAAACCCAGTTACCTTATCACATCGATGCAGAAATTCCTCCAAAAAACCCTGGTTGCCATTAAACCCCCTCGCACCCCCCTCCCCCCCTTTCATCCTTTCATAGCCTTCATCCATCCGCTCCGGTTTCTCTTGTGTGCTTTTCAACTTTCTCTTAATACCCTCAAATCGCTCCCTCATCCGGCGCCTCTTCTTTCCCGGAGGCATTCGTGACCTGTAGCTTGACGGACAGATGCTGACTGAAGGACGTGGATGGAAAAGAACGAACGACAGAGAGAGAAATGGATCCAAGGGCAAACTGGCTTCTCAAAAACGCTCTTTAGTTGTGATTTCGCTCCTGCTCGCTGTCATTCAGGGAAGCTTCCCGGTAGTGTGTGTGTGTGTGTGTGTGTGTGTGCGTCTGTGCGCAATGTGTGTTTTTGTGGCACAGAAGCTGCTCGCTAAGAGGCGAGCGAGAGAGAGAGAGAGAGCGAGAGCGAGCGGCAGGAGTAACAAGGCAGCGGATAGGAGGAGGAGGCGAGCCGAGCAGGGAGGGGTGGGTTGTGCCACTGAGCGATCGAGCAGTAGCTGGTGTGAAGCTGCAGCAGCCGGTACATAAACGCTTCCCTCTTCCTCCGCCCGCCGTCTGCGAGCCAGGGTGAAAGCGGGAGAGCGGCTTCCCCTCCATCCGCAGGCCGCTGGCCACAGGTCTCACCGCAGGACGGGACACACTGGAGGACACGTACGCAGACGGGCTCTCACAGCTGATCGGGGGAACGCACACACTGCTCCCCCCCCCCCCTCACCCTCACCCTCCCTGCAGGGCAGCCGCTCACTCTGCTGGTTTCTCCTGCCTCCGCCGTGTCAGCGGGATCCATCCTGCCACGCTCCGGTCTTCTGTCAACCGGAAACGCCCTGCGTACTTGTGTTTTTGCTCTCTGCAACGGGGACATTGAGCGTCCTCACCGCCGCCGCGCCGCGAGCAGCTCAAGGCTGCTCTTCCCCTTTGGCTCCGGGCCAGACGCACATCTGCACCTGAAGTCGGTCTGCCGCTTTAAGCCCGATCTTGCCGAAACCTGAGCTGTACCCCCTCTCCTCCTCCTCCTCCTCCTCCTCCTCTGCCGGCTGCTACCAGAGATGCCTCTTCCTAATTAGATCAAGTGGATGTGAGGAGCCTTTTTTCTACCCTTCCACCTCCTGCAAACTGTGGATTGTGTCGGGCTGTTGCGACGTCGCACTGCACCACCTGATGGAGGGGAAGCATGCTTGATTAACTGGCAGACGCGCAGCCGGACGCGGGCGGTTTGTGATTGGACAGCGCTGGAACACAAACTCCTAGCCAACTGTGGTCCTGGTATCCAGGGGGCACAGAGAGGCATGCGATGCCGAGCTGTCTGGGGAGCTTAAGGTGGAGTCTGTCTGCGCTCGGCTGCCTCCAGGTTGAGACACACAGCTGCTTTTTACGGCTTCTCTGGACTGCAGGGAGTTTGATGCCACAGGTATGCGGCCGGCCCACACGATCATCGCAAAGGGCGTGAATCCACCTGCCAATCTCCCCAATGGGAGAAATGAACGGCAGCGATTTTGAATCCAAAGATATTGATCATCATCAGTCCCTCAGGAGAAGGATCGTCTCGTCGCTCGAGACGCCAGCTCACTGGGCAGGGTGGAGCGGGGGAGGATGACCGGGAGAAGCATCGGGGCGGGAAGCCCGAAGCTCTTGAGTGTTTAACAAGCTGTCACAGTATTGGCTGCATCGCCCTGCAAGCCGCGGCAGCATTGGCTGACGGCGCTTATCCCTCACACACGGCGCGCTGCCTCGGCACAACGGGACACCACGAGGAAACCATCTCTTGTTGTGTGGCTGACTCGCGTTACAGATCTTACTTCTGTCCCTCTCTGGCTGCACAAACATTACCACAGTAGGTGGGAGACTCATCATTAATTCATGGCTCGATCCGAGTGTGGATTGACCCCTCGGATTACTCTGGCAGCTGCAACCGACTGCAAATCTGAGGAATCTGGAAGCAACAGCCGAGGTTTTCCTCAGTCACGTCTTGTATTTGAAGCTCACCTGCCAAACGCCTGGCGATAAATCAGACAGCTGACCCCAATTTCTCCTATTGTGCTCCCTTGTGTGGCTCTGCTAGCATAACGTGTCCTTGAATTGCAACCGCAAGTCTTCTGGGGACAAACGGACTGATACAGCAAGCTGCAGGGCCCCTCGGGACCCCCGGCGGCTGAGGAGAAGGAGAAGGGGAGGGACTCGCCCCTCAGGACGCTGCCAAAGAAAACTCTGCCCTGCCTTACTTCCCAAAACATTTCCCCTCTACAGTCTCTCTTTGAAGGACTGAATGCTTCCGAACTTTCCATGATGCTCAAACCCCAATGAGCAGCATCCCTCTGTGACGGACTAACGGGCCGCATGTGCTGCGCTTTCTACTTCGTACGCCGTTCTCTGTCAACCACTGAGGCATGGGGAACTCCATGGGTTGTGTCAGGCCTCCTCGGGAGGAGGACCCCGCTGGAGCCCCCCCACTTTCCCCAAAGAGGCGTCTGCGTTTCAGGCGTAGGCACAAGGGCAAGAAGAGCCGGAAAGGCGAGTCGGAGCAGGGTGACGTTGAGGGACCAAGACGCCGCGGGCCCGACGGAAGAGGGGAGGAGCGTGAAGGCGGCGAGGGAAAGGTCGCACTTAAAGACCCCTCGGATTTTGGCAGCAAAGCAGGGACTCTTCCAGCGCACCTGCACGGCAGCACCCTCTCCCCCCTCTCCCCCCTCTCCCCCAGCCAACGGGGCCACGGGACACTCGTGTCGCCCAAACCCAGCCCGGCCTGGAGAGGGGTCTTCTGCCTCCCTGGGGAGGAAGACACCGTCAGCGGCATCGTCGATGTCTCCAACCTCCCGAGCCAAACCACGACCATCAGCACGGTCAGCACGGCGCCAGCCCTGGGCAGCACCACCCCAGGGGGGGGGCGGGTCTGTCGCGTTAAGGAGAAGGTCCAAGGGGTCCTTGAGAAACCTTGGCTCCTTCGGCAAAAGGAGAGAAAAGACGGGGGGAAGACGGCGAGAGAAGAAACGGGGGACGGGGGGGTCAGAGGCGGACCGGAGGGAGCTGTGGCGGTGGTGCGGACGCCCTCGGGGCGGGAGCACAAAGGTGTGGTCCATATCCGTGAGGTGGATGGTAAACTGTGCGTGGTGAGGACGGTGTACCCCAGCGATTTTGGCTCACCGGTCTGGGGGGGCCAAAGTGATGGCGAGGTGCGCAAAGAGCGCCCGGCCGCCTCCCCAGTCACCGGGAATATTCTCAAAGTCCAAGTGTCTGATGAGGACAGAGGTGGAGACGTAATGTCTGCAGGGGATCTCCCCTTATCCTCGAACCAAAGGCCTCTTCGGGACCCTGCTGCTGGGGGGGGTCTGAGCTTGGACACGCCGGCCTGCCCACCGGGGCGGACGTCTCTGCTGGAGTCGGGCTATGCCAGCGACCTGCCGCAGACCTCTCCAGAGACGGCGGGCACCACCCCCAGTCAGACGGACTGGGGGGGGCTGACCAGTAGCTCGTCGGAGATGGAGAGTCCTCTGTGGCCGCAGGCGGCCGGGAAGAGCCTTCCACAGGTTTGCCTCCGTCCTACTTCACACATCACACACACTGCTGGGACAGCTGGTTCCCCGCTGGCCGGGGGCCACAACGCTGAGCGTTTGTTTACAGCAAAGGTGACGTTTCAGCAAAAAAGTGTGAAACACTCATCTAATGCATCACTTTGACTCATTCCTTCTTAGTTGTGAGGATTCACCGCTTTGGGACCCGGTTAACACAGAAGATATTAAATAGCCGTGAACTTTGACCAACAAAGTAACAACTTTGACCGCAACCTGCATTCACACATGGCCGTACCCTCATTTTATTATCGAATACCTTTGTGTTCAGGATAACTGGGATGGGTATTATTCTGATTTTCTTTCTGTAGATATTTAGAATTGGAGGATTAATAGTCAATGAAAATGATTGTTAATCTGCAGCCCCGTTAGTTGTTACAGGAAAGTGGGCGGATACACGTGAAAAGTCGCTCCACACACCAACCATGGATTGTGGGCTTATATAGACATTAAACTCATTTTTCATTGTGTTGTACAGTTTGTGATGGTGGACCCCATTATTCTAGAACGAGTGGTTTGTGGTGGTGCTGGTGTGTGTGTGTGTGTGTGTGTGTGTGTGTGTTCGGCTCTGGAAAGTCGCTCTCCTTTCTTTCCGCCAGCGTCCCCAGGGCCTAATCAACGGCGCACAGGCCGTCCCTCCATCCAGCTCCCCCCCCTTTCCCTTCCGTCACCTCTTTCCATTGCTTGTCGCTTTCCTCACGCACGGATACTCGCCCACAGCCGACGTCTGTTAGAGTGTGAGAGACAGACGGGGTGTTTGTTTGTGTGAGACGGGTCACTGCTCCAAGGGAAGCTTCCGGCTGAAACGAGACCGTTGACATATGTGAATGGCGTCTATTGGTACTGGACTCAGTGCTACAGGCGTGCAGTGATATTGTCCATTGTGTTGCTAATATTGATCTGCCTCTGAAGACAGACGGAGCACCGAGCAACATGACGTCATCGAACTGTGAGAATGAACGACTTTGTTTTGACCAAACCGGAAAACCGTGTTCAGAGTCACTGAGACTCGTCAGGTCTGAATGAAGTGTGTGTGTGTGTGTGTGTGTGTGTCAGTGTCCGTCGTTGGGACAGCGGGGGCTGCCTGGCCCCCTTTATTGTCCCTACACACCTGTGGTGCATTGCCCCAGACGCGCCGCGGCGCGCTTCAAACGTGTCCTCCCAACCACTGCTGCTCCCTCACAGCGCTGCCTCACCTTCAAAATAAGAGGCTCCTGCAGCCCACTGCAGCTTAGATGCCCCCCCCCCCCCCCCCTCTCCACGTTGCTCTGGCAGCACGTTATGGATGAACGGGCTGCACTGACGGCGGGTCGGGGGCCGTTTAGGGCTACGCGACGCGCTCGTGGCTCAGCTGCTGAGTCATGAGAACCAAACGCTGACACAGTGGACCCCCAGAGGTCGCTGCTCCGGAGGGGTTTCTCCCGCTGGGCGCTAATAAGCCGTAGCCCTGCGTTCGCGTGTTCCCTGTGTTCCGTGTGTCACGGGAGGGAGGCCGTTGCGTCTGTGCATAAAAAGGGACTTGATATGCGCATTCATCAGCCAGACGTCTGGCTTGTCGAGCCTCGAGGGGATTCCTCGACCACGGCGGGTGTGCACATACGCGCCCCTCCTAAGCTGTCCAGCATGCCCCCCCAGCGTCATCTGTCTGTCTGTCCTTCGTCCGCCCAGCCGTCCTTTCTGTTCATGGACTCGCTGCTTTTGTTTAAGGTGCCGGCAGAACCGTCACATCTCCCCCTCGTTTTGTCCCCCTCCGTCCCTCGCTCCCCCGCCTCTCTCCACAAACTTCAAAGAGGCCATGCTTCTAAAGGAGGGCCAGTCCAGAGCCGGGGGGGGGGGGGCGTCATGGATCACAGCAGCACTGTGTGTCTATGCCTGAACATCACACACACACACAAGGCAGAGAAGAAATACTTATTGTCTGGCTCCATCGCTGCTATTAGAATAAAGCTTTCATACGTTGCATATGCTCCCCCATAATGAATAAAGGAATAGCGGGATGCACAGCTTCTAAGAGGTGGAGGAGATGCTGTTGCAGTGGGAGTGCAGCCTCTCACACACTATCAATATTCACATGCTCTGTAGTTCTGTGTAAAGAAGGCGGTGGACGCATACAGAGAGGCCGAGAGTCCATTCCCATTGTGTGCACATGCAGTTTTTTCAGGAGCGTTGGAAAGAATAGGTTAGTGGCCCAGCTCTTCTAGAGGTGTAATGACGTACTCCGAGGTTCACGCTCACCGGTTTCTACCAAACTCCCTTTCTCCCCGAAGGTCGGAAACCTGCTGGATAACTCGAAGCTCAACATTTGAAGCTTGCTAACTGCCTTTGGAGATCTAGTTTTTATATTCCTTTAGTTCTAGTCTGAGTATGTAGATGTGGTCACCTGTGGTGTTTAATGAAGCCGGTGCCGTCTCGTCATCACCTGGTTAAATTCGTAGGTCAAAGAGCTGGCTGGCAAGCGTGTGGTGTCCCGGTTTTAGATACCACAGATAACGCTGGACGTTGCTGTGGCCTCCTGGCACACGGTGAAGGCTCATACTGCTGTTAGCAGCAGAGACTGTGAGAGGTGGAGGAGTGTTGTACAGTGAGTAAGTGTGCACGGGATCACAGCAGAATACTGATGAACACGGTCACAGCACTCTGCAGCGCACTGTGGGCCCTAAAGGGAGCTAACTGACGGGATAAAGGGGCACAGCGGTGATGTAGTGCGCTGGGCAGGAGACGTGGATGAAGGAGCTGTCAGTCTCCATGGAAGCCGGGCTCCTCTCCGGCCCTCAGCGAACAGGGCTCTCAGGAGCTGGATCAACACAATCTGCTGTGTCTGTGCACAGCGTTGGTCTGCACCGTCATACAACACAAGCCAGACTATTGCAACAACGGGGGGGGGGGACATTTAGAAGACATTGACACACTTACAATGCATTTCCTCAGAAATGAGAAGCAACAGAGCGACTACTCGATAATGCAAATTTGTAACAATCTGTCAGTGGATAAAGCAAGTCCAAAATAACACGCTTCACTCGCGTCTCTTATGGACCTAACGATCAGTGCAAAGCACTCAAAATGGGTGAGCAAGCTGAGCAGATTGATCAGCCTCTAAGGCAGAGCAGATGAAAGACTACCGCAATCCGAGGAGACAGTTCGAGGTTGAAGAGGGGGCAGGGAAGAAGGAGACGAAGGAGAGGAGACAGAGTGCGCTCCAGCTAATGAGCAGGCTGCACGATGCAGTGAGGGAATGGTGGAAAATAACTGATCCACTAACGCAGAAAAACATGCTCATCTCATCGCGATGCACGCGGTCTCAGACAGCGAGGGGGGCGGCTCCTCAGAGAGCTGAAAGACCGGTTGAGTGGAAGTTACTCAAACCTCCCAGATACATCGCCATGACGACCGGCGTGGAGATGCTTCAAGATAAAACATAATATGTGCAGCAATATCTTGAAGCATGGAATTCCCACGAGAAGCCCGGTAGTTATTCCCACTCTGTCTGTCTGCTCTCTCCAGATATCCGAGATCTACGTGAGCGGCGAGTCGAGCGACCTCACGGCCAAAGAGAAGCTGTTGCTATGGAGCCAACAGGCGACGGAAGGCTACCCCGGCCTCCGCTGCGTCAACTTCACCTCGTCCTGGAGCAACGGACGCATGTTCAACGCCCTGCTGCACAGATACAGGTCAGAGTCAAGGCCTGGATTCCTCAAACTGAGTGAACGGCCGCTCAGCTGACGCGTTGGGGGGCCCAATCAGCCTCACGATGCGTCAACAAAATGTTGTAAATGGCTCTGAATAAATGACATTAGTGTTTGTGAAAGCTCCTTGGGAGTGTAAAGGACACTCACTAGCAGGAATGCTCCTATTGAACACTACCGGTACACTGACAAAACCCGTGGGTTTGTTTTCCAGGCCAGACCTGATCGACATGGAGGCGGTGTCGCGGCAGAGTAACCGGGAGAACCTGGAGCAGGCCTTTGAGATCGCCGAGTCGCTGGGGGTGACCAGTCTGCTGGACGCCGAGGGTGAGCCCGAAGGAGCCAACCGACCAGCGGCGGCTCGTCCCTCTGAAACACAGGCTGATTTATGGTCACCAGAAATGACCAAATCCAGCCACAGACACATACATTTTATTTCCAATATCTATATAACTTGATGGCAATTTAAAGTATACAGATTTGACCTTTTCCCATTTATTTATTGTGTTAAATAAAGAGGCACATAACTTATATATTGCAGTGAAAAGAGGCCACAGTGAGTAAATGTGACACTGCTGAGCGTTCTAGACGGCACAAACAAGTCCGGTAGCTCGTTGGTTTGCGGCTTTTATTTTGGAGGCACGCCAGCAGAGGAAGAGTCAGCCAGCCTTAATGACCGGCTGATGAATGCTCATGTGCTTAAAGACGCTAGCCGGGAGGCGTGCTTTTAGTTCTGTTGCCTTGAGCTATTCCCTTCTAGTAGATGAAGGTACCGTTGGCCTGACATTACCTGTCACTCAAAGCATTGCTCAGTGCCGTTAAAGGGATTGGTGGTGTATCAGTGCGTAACTGGTTGAGAAACACATGGTTGTTTGCATGTTTAGCGGTTGTCACTTCTGTGTATCATTGTTGTAAATGTATCATTTTTACAGCCAGAGATTATATGTTTATAGTTAGTCGATTTGTGTTGTTAAATCTTAAATCCAGACAAAGCTCCACAATCCCAAAGTCCTGATTTCTTCTCGCTGAAAGCGTTCTAAACATGTTTGGGTTGTTTGCTTTCTGTAATGTTCCATTTGTCTCTTCAGACGTTGACGTACCGTCTCCTGACGAGAAGTCTGTCATCACCTACGTCTCCTCCATCTACGATGCCTTCCCCAAAATCCCAGAGGGAGGAGAGGGCATCTCCGCACAGGCCAGTCTCACTCTGCTGCACTCGCACACACTCAGCGCAATATAAATGATTATTCAATCTATGTGGTTTAAACTGCGTCCTCGATTAAGGTAGATGACGCTTATCATTTAAAGGGTAATTCTGACATGTATTTACTCAGAGAGCAAAATATCCCTCAAATAAATGTATTAAAGTTATATTTGAGCAAATTGAGCAAAGAAACCCACAAGCATTCAGGTTTGGGCTATAAAATGTCCACAAAGCTCTGGTGAAGAACAGCCACAGAATGTCGCTGTAAAGAAGCAAAGATATTAAGAAAATCACTTGATTATGATTTTTTTAAATATATATATATATATATATATATATATTTTTTTTTTAAATAATGGGACTTCCGCTTATAAACTTTGTCTATACAAAAGGTGCTTCTTGAACATCGTCTTGCTGAGACATGTTGTCAACCTGACCAACTGTAGAATGTATAAAATAATACAACTGGGAATATTTTCATAATACGCCTTTTTAAAAGAAATAAATGGGATAGTCAATGTTCTTTCTACCAAATGGACATCTCTGTATGTACTACAGTTGATATCATATTACACTCTTTCCACTTAGTGTTCATTTCAGTCGCTCCTCTACCGTTATATCAGGCGGCGCCTCTGTGCAGTTACTTGACTAATGACCTGGAACTTCCAAACCATTTGGCAATTGAATTATTGTTAATTATTTAAAATGACTTGCTGATTTTGTGTCCCCCCCCCCCCCCCCCCCCCCCTCTAACATTAGGAGTGTTAAAAGGCCATGGCAAAATACCCATCCAGGTTTTCCCCTCTGCCCCTGTGGAACCGGCCAGATTAATCCTCGATGGGCAAGAAAGAGTTCCCCCAAAAACGCCCGTGAACTCAAGGTGAGGAGGTTTTCTTTAGGGACCTTTTTCATTTTTTCATCACAAGCATCGTCACTTCTCTTCGACTGGACGCCAACCTCTCTCTCTCTTCACGAAAGAATTCTGTACCAAACCTTGCAAGATCGAGCGGATGAACGTTCTGTAACCTCAAAACAACACAAATGCTTGTTTGCAAACACATTTAGTTGTTAGTGGGAATCAAACCTCAGTCCCACCAACATGACGAAAAAGACAAGATTTAATGGAAGACCGCAGAGTATAGAAACTGTCTGCCCCTCCCAGAGAGCTTATTGTACCTCTGATAATAGGTATTGACCTGTGTCTGACCTCAAACACAGTCGCGTTACGGTCATATTGACCTCATCAGTAACTGGCTTCCTGCTCCTCCTCCAGGCACTTTACAACGAGTACATCCATTTCAAAGAGACGGAGATTCCCGCCAAGGAGGCGGAGAAAGGTCACATCGAACACCTCTACAAACTCCTGCAGGTAAGAGCGAGCGGGACGGCGGAGGAACATGAAGGGCACCGCGTGCCGAGCCGATGGTGCATCACGGGGCTCCGCCAAAGGGACGGAGGCTTTTGTGTTTCAGCAGCTTTGTGCGAGTCTGGTCACAAGCTGCGAGCTGCAAGCCCGAGTCTCCTGGAGCGAAGACATTTCCAAAGTTCTGCTGTTATCCATGCTGGAGATTGTTTCGTTGAACACCAAACACATGACAGTAGATTACAAGTTCTCCTTTATTCTCACTCAGCTGATTGCGCCGGTTTGTTAGTCTGCGGTGTGGCTTATGATCGCGACTAAATGTCGTAATGGAGCTAGGAGGCAATATCCTGGTCTGAAAAGTAAAACCAATACGGAAGTGCCATAAGATGGCATCGTTATAACATTTCCATCAGGGGACGACTCCCGGGGTCTATAAAAAAGTTACTTCTCACTTGATTCATTACCTCATACATATTGTAAACATGGATTTATGGGCTCACTTACTATTTCCAAGTCCTCTTCAAAACCGCATGATGTTCATTGCATCCCACCCTGAACGAGAGCCACCCGGAGGGGAAAGAATCGGCGACCCCCAACATGCAAACACTAAGAGTACCCGACCACTAACAAAGTGCTACGTGCACCTGGGATGCAGTTGATAACTAAAGTGACGACGGGATGGCAGGAGATAACTCATTACGGTGTTAGCTGGGGTCCTTATATACAGTCCATGGTGTGCACTAGCACTGAAGCGTGATGGGACGTTAATATGTAATTAGTGTGTGTGTGTGTGTGTGTGTGTGTTCGTCCAGGTGTGGATAGAGTTTGGTCGCATCAAGCTCCCTCAGGGCCTCCATCCTAACGACCTCGAGGAGGATTGGGGCAAACTCATCCTGGAGATGCTGGACAGGGAGAAGGCTCTCAGGCCGGCTGTGGAGAGGTACACACACACACACACACACACACACACACACACACACATTCATTTAAGTATCTACTTCAGCAGGATACATGCAATTAAATAAAAACCGCTGGTGCAAGTCCTCATGGTCAATTTCTCATAAAGTGTGATTTTCAGGAACATGCTCCTTTAATCTGTGTTACCGCTTGTGTTTTCAGGCTAGAACTGCTTCTTCAGAGGGCTAATAAGATCCAGAACATGGCTCTGGACTGTGAGGAGAAGCTTACCCTGGCTAAGAACACCCTGCAGGCTGTGAGTAGTGTTCCTTCCCCACACACATGCGCTAACGTCAGGGTTATGTTGGGGGGATACAGGAGGATTGGTCATGATAATCAGCAATATGTTAGTTATTGGTCCGTTGCTTTGTGGACACAAACCTACTTGACAAACTCATCTTTGTCCTTTTTGGTCAACAATTGACTCCGCCGCAAGAGATATTGTCACTTTATCAAAAGCCCTGCCCCCCCCCCTAGAAAATTAAAATAATAATCGCTTGGGGAACAACACATTAGAACACCATAGAAAAAGAACCTTACCACGTAGGCCAAAAAACAACTAAAAGCAACAACAACACCTGCCTGCTGCGGTGTGCAGGACATGTCTCGAGCGGAGAGCGGCGAGGCGGTGCAGTGTGAGAGAGAGCTGGCGTGCTACCTGCAGGACTGCCAGTCTCTCATCCAGCAACTCAACCAGGAGCTCAAAGTCCTCCGAGATGAGAAGTACTACCAGGTGGAGCAGCTAATGTTCAGGTGGGTTTCTCCTTGTGTAATTATTTAGTGTGAACACAGACCGCATCGCTGAGAAGGGCGGGATCATTTAAAGGTATTTTCTGTAACTTTTCCTCATTAAAAAGTCTGAAAACCAGTTGTTTCCAACAATTTTCAAACCGAGAGAGAGTTTTTTTATTCAAGGTAGAGGTCAGTGTCATTTGGTCACCTGTCAGCGAGGTCATATCTCCTAAACGCATGTGTTAGGGTTTTCAGAAGCTGCCATAAATTGACTTTTCTATCCAGTTTTACGAGACATTTTCTTTAGACCTCGGTGTTTGTAAGCCTAGAGACCTCTGGGTGTTAACGTGACCCAGTGTTTCCTGAGACCTCGGCTGACCATTCGTCTCCCAGTAATGACCTCATGAATCCTAACTAGGAGATGCTGACTGACCCTGTCTTTACTGTCGGAGACCAGAGTGCCCCTCCTTGACAGCACTGTACCCTTTGGACAAATCAACTCTGGGAAATGAATCCTGAAGTAACTGCATCCGTTGCTCTCACATCACCAGAGTGTCGTGCCTTCAAGAGGAGCTGGTCTCCCTCAGGCTGCAGTGCTCCAGCGTCTACAGGAAAGGGCACTTCTCCCAGGCGCTGGGCACCACGGTAGTAGATCACCCCGGCCAGAGGGCCACGGAGGGCGGCCTGACGCTGGGCCAGACTCTGCTGGGGGCCGTGGGCGCAGTCGGTGCCGCGCTCCTGCGGCGCCCGGCGGCCCGCTCCCAGCTGGTGGCCATGTCGTCATCGGAGGACGAAGGGAGCCTGAGGTTCATCTACGAGCTGCTCGGATGGGTGGAGGAGACGCAGGTCAGCAATGTAGCTGTGATATGAGAGTATACAGTACGAGATTATTTTCATCTTTGATTCCTTTGCTTGTCTTGGTTGTTCAATTGTGCATGTGAAATGTCAAGAGTTAGTTAGTCTATTATTGTATTAAATGGGGAAAAAAAGCAGCAAATTCTCACATTTTCACCACCTTTTTCCAAAAAAATGTAATGTCTTACTCAAAAAAGCAGTAATCATTTTTTCTAAAGCATTATTATTTCATTATCCTATAATATAAAGTATGTAACTGCAAGAGATAAAAAAAACAAAACATGAATATTACCATGACAACATAAACGCTGTAAACATTCCAGTGGGATTAAAGAAGAAATATTTTTCTGCTCTCTGGAATCCAGGACCTTTTGGAGCGTGCCGAGTGGGGCGCCGACCTCCCCTCCGTAGAAAACAACCTCCATGAGCACAACGCCGTACACGGCGCAGTGGAAGAGCTCATGAGCAGCCTGCAGGAGGCTCGGGCCTACGAGGTGCGCACACACCCTGCATGCACCAACACGGAGGTCTTTGGGCCCAGAGCCACGGGTTTGTGACGATGCTCTACTGTCCTCTGTTCCAGGCTAAAGTGTCCCCCAACTTCAAGAGCAGTTACTGTGAAACCCTGGCCAAGCTGGAGCACCAATACTGCAAACTACTGGTCAGTCTCTGAGCAAGAACCGTGTGTAAACTGTGTGTTTTAGTGGAAACACTTATTTGTCTCCCAGTTCATCCCCTTTAATCCCTTTATACCATGACAGGCCTCTTCTGCCTCGTATGCTCTCTTTTTGCTCCTCTCCCCAAAGCCGCGCCCCTCCCCCAGTTTCCTTTGGTTTCTTTGTCCCTTCTTGCCTCCTAATATATTTCTGGTATTTTTGGTGAACCTCATTTGAGGTTTTACAGTTTTGTGTGCATGTGCGTATATCTGGATGCAAGTGCAAGTTAATATAATAATATACTAATTATACTATAATAAGAGTAGATGTGTTGGTGATTAGCGAGACCATGAAACAATCTATGAATCATCCGGGAATTCACAAAATAACATTTTATGGAATAATGGGTTTTAATTAATATCGTTGTTATGAAAACACATGTGAAAATGATTTTAAAAAGGCCACAGCTCGGTTTCATTCCTTTCTGTATCATACAAGTTTTTAAAGAGGGATTTATTCAGATATCATTTGGAGCCTGATTCATCCAAAAAACATGGATACATTATACATTTGAATTGCCCTCCTGAGTAATTGAGTGATCCATATACTCTCTGTGCTAAACTTTGACTAATATGTCGCCACGTTTCTCGTTGTCACGGTGATCTTTTCTATAATCCCTGCGAGCACGCCAAAACCACCTAACCAACAACCAGAGGGCAGAGGATGTTCTTAAAAAATGTTTTTATTCCTCTGCACTGCTGATCAGCGTGAGGATGATGTTTGTTTGTGTGGTTGCCATAGGAACATTCGTCGTGGCGCCTGCGGAGCTTGGAGAGCTTACACGCGTTTGTGGCGCACTGCACCGAGGAGCTGATCTGGCTCAACGAGAGGGAGGAGGAGGAGATCGCCTTCGACTGGAGCGACAACAACCCCGGCATGAACGCCAAGAGAGAGTTATACAGCGTGAGTGGGGGAGGCGCTCACACACAAGCATGCATACACAAAACATATGTTTTTTACACACACGGGTTGCGTTGACATGCACACAAGACAGGCTGGTGGCGTAAAAAATGAGAAACCTGTAATCTAGTGTAACCACCCGTCTTTTCCTGTTCTGTTTGCAGGAAATGAGGTTAGAGCTGGATGAGAAACGAGATGTGATGCGGTCGCTGCAGGAAACGGCCAACCGGCTGTGTCAGGAGAACCATCCAGCCAAACAGACTGTGGAGGTGACTTTATTCTCTGAGACCGGATGATCTTTCAAGATGCTGCCTTTTGTTGGAGCACTTCAACCTGAAATACCCGGCTGTGTTTTGTTTCGTTGCGTTCTTTAAATAAAAACTTTTCTATAAAAGTAAGTTTAAATAACTTCCTTTAATAAGTCAATAATATACTGTGGAGCCAAAACAAACACTCATGCCTTTAAGGTGCTTGATTAGGGAGCATATAAAGCATATAAATTACCTCTCAACATGGCGACGGAGCTTGCAGCTTACCGCATATTATGTAAATAAATGGTTAAATACTGAACTAGAATGTATATTCTTTTAATATACTATATATTATTTGTCATTGTGATGACTGGGAGTTGCCCTTCATGCTCCATGTTCCACTTTGCTTGTTCTCTGCCACCGCGGATCACTGCACAGTTGTAAAAAGAACCCAGTGCCAGACGCTGCCTGCCGACTCTGAATGTGTGGCAATCGACATCCCCGTTGATGCGTCGCAGCGACCCTTTTGAAGCTCCATGTAGCTGCAGCGTGACCCCCCCCCCTCTCTGTGTGCTTTCAGGCGTACAGCGCAGCCCTGCAGACCCAGTGGCAGTGGGTGAACCAGCTGTGCATGTGTGTGGAGCAGCATCTCAAAGACAACACGGCGTACTTCCAGGTGAGGTGACAACTCACTCCTTGTTATCAGACCTGCGCACCAAATCACTCCTCTTCACCGTCCTCCACTGGCCCCCTCAGAGGCATGACGTCAAATATTCTTGTCTCCCGTGTCAGTTCATGGGCGATGCTCGGGACTGCGAGTCGTACCTGCGCCAGCTCCAGGAAACCATCAAGAGACAGTACACCTGTGACAGGAACAGCAGACTGAGCAAACTGGAGGACCTGCTGCAGGACTCGATGGTATCTGCCCCCCTTGACCAAATTCCAAGTAGAAATAATGAGCTTCCTCAATAGCGATGGTGCCCTTGAGCAAAGCACACAACTGTCAAATGTGTCAATGATGCAGTATCAGTTGATTGAAGTCTTTTATTCAGGACACTCAATCTGGGAAAGCACTTTCTTCTCATTATAAAAGGTTGGCAATCGCAAAGTTACCCTTTTGTCTCAGCTTTGAGTTCAAAGATAAATAATAAAAATAAATAAATAAATCATAAAAAAGGTCAGACACTAAACAGTAAATCCGGTTTGGCGCTGAGCTTAGCATTGAGGGTAGCAACATGGCGCAGATGGCGTGAAGTGTGAGAATCTCACGTGAGGTGATCAGCCAATGGCAGTCGGCTCGGACATCCATCCTCTTAAAAGACGCCGCTTCTATCTGCTTTTGTTTCCAAAGCTTTAGAGTGACAGGATCGATATACGAGGATGGAGATGAAGCATCTTTGTTGCCCCAGCTTACTCTGTTCCTTCTGGTTTAGAAGCGCTGCTGCCCCCTTGTGTCCACAGAGCAAACCTGTACATGAGGAAAGCAAAATGGTCCCAGAAGAAGCTTTACCACGTAGTATTCGTACATGTGTGCCGACGCACACCATGTGACCGACGTAATGTGTTAAAGAGTTCCTTTGCTGAATCATCCCCCCCACCTACACACACACACACACCTCTGACTTGAAGCAGATGGCAACGCTAGTGTGGCCTGAGAGTGTATCTCTAACGCACTCTTTTCCCAGACCTGTGTGCCGCGTTGTAACGTGGCGTGTGTGTCTGTAGCCGTGTTGGCTGTGCTTCGTCTTCTTACTGAGAGGGTGAATCTGATATTAAAAGACTAAAGCCTCTGCACCATCAAAACAAACCGCAGAACCGTCTGTTTGACTCCCCCACCAGCGAGGAGATAAAAAACTTCATATTAAGTTCTTTTGTTTTCCCTCGTTACTCGTACTATTAGGTGAATGTTAACTTGTCCTCCATGTAATAATAGGGGCATCACGCTGAGCGGGCCAGAGAGCATGTTAACGCTTCTCAAATAGTTCTCGTGATGGTTGTTGGTCCTGTGGTTCGAATTCATTTGCGAAGTCGTCATGCCGCTGCGTTTTAATGCGTCTCGTGATTAATTAAGTTTCCTCCAGCTCGTCGTTCCACTTGTTCTAGTCGTGTTGACAGCAGCGTCTCCGTGTGAAATTCATTCCTGGGCTGTTATCTAAAAGTTATTTATATTGCCCCCCCTCTTCCCCCGTTCCATCTCACTCTGTCTCCCCCTCTTCCCCCGTTCCATCTCACTCTGTCTCCCCCTCTTCCCTCGTTCCATCTCACTCTGTCTCCCCCTCTTCCCCCGTTCCATCTCACTCTGTCTCCCCCTCTTCCCCCGTTCCATCTCACTCTGTCTCCCCCTCTCGCTCGTTGTGTCCCTACCTCGCTCCCTGTGGTTTGTCTCCATACTGAACCCTGGGTAACTCTCTGGGGGAGGCGGGGGGGTCTCACTTATATTGAAGTGGTTCTACATGTCAGGGTGGAGGAGCTCCCTTTTTAAATGTTTAATCGTGCCCAAGCGAACACAAGCAGCTGAGTCAGGAGGTCCACTCATGGGGGGCTGACAGGCCGCCCATCAGTCCTGTTTATAATTCACAGCTGTCTTGGCATATATTGAATAACTAAAAGATGTACAGTACCTACTTCTCCTCTAGCGCTACCAGGAGGTTTTTCGGGAAATGTCTCAACAATTTTTGACAAAATAATTGATTGATTAGGCAAAAAGAGACATCTTGTTCAATGTGTCCTCAACAGTATATTTAAATAGTTTCAGCCGCTATGAAAAAGGTGGTGGGAAAAATGATCAATTCAAAGATGTGGGATTCACCTCGTCTCTCTAACACGAAGCATCCAATGTGGAGGGATGCTCAGTCCTCACCAGTGTGTCCGTCCCGCAGGAGGAGAAGGAGCAGCTGATCGAGTACCGCAGCACGGTGGCGAGCCTGGTGGGCCGGGCCAAGGCGGTGGTGCAGCTCCGGCCCCGCGGCGCAGAGAGCACCTTGGGAGCCACCACACCCATAAGGGCCATCTGCGACTACAGACAGATAGAGGTAAGGGGCCGACCACATCCGTGGGCATGTTTCAGCCTCCAAACAACCACAGAGCGAGAAAGAGCCCGTCTGTAGCGTTACCCCTCACCTCCAGACGCCTCCTTTCTGCCCTGCACCCCCCCCCCCCTCCCACATCCACTATGTGGCTGCTCTGTTATGGCTCCTTCCTTCATGCTGTGAAATTGATGAGTGTGTCCACGCGATCTCGAAGTGGTCCCTATTGTTGATTTTATTTTGCCCTTTTGTAACTGCTCCACTTCACTTTTTTTATGTTTACATGATTTCATGAGTATAAATAGCAGTGCTTCATTTGAAAGCTGAATAAATCCCTGACACAATTCTTACCATCGATGATCTTTGGCTTTTGTTCTTTATAAAAACCGCAAACGACGTGACGACAGACAGGACAGTAAAGTAGAGATTATTGAGAGGAGAGCCACTGTTATGTAACACACACACAGTCTCTCCCCCTCTCAGCTGTCCTCAGGGAATCTTAGAGCCAATGCATTAAACATCCGTCTCATCCACCTTTAGAGGGCCTGGTCGAAAAGAACAGCACCTCCCCTCAGCTCGGCCCGCTGCGGCCCCCCCTCGCGCTGCTATTCTTAGTTTGCCATGTTGGATTCGTCCCATTTGTCCATCGGGGCATACGGAATGTGAGGCGCTGCATCCAGGTGAAGGTGGACGGCAGTCGTCCACCAAATTATTGATCTAGGGACGAAATAAATCCCATCTGAGTGTGTGCTGGCAAACGTGCACGTGACCAAAAGTAAACTTCTCTCTCTCCTTCACTTTCCCGTGTCTCCCCCTCTCTCTCTCTCTCCATACCCTCATGTACCTTTTTTTGACCCTTCTCACTCCCCCCTCCTCCTCCTCCTCCTCCTCCTGCTCCTTCGTCTTCCTCTTCCCTTCCTCTGGGCTGACAAGACAAACGTTCAGGTATAGCTGCCTATGTTCTCCCCCTCTCACCTCAGACTCGCACTGCACGCACGCCGCGCCGCCCTGGTCAAAATTGTTAAAAGGTGGTTGGCTTTCAATTTCAGCCTTCCACTTTCCATTCATTGGGTTTCTACCCTGAAACCAGAACATCGAATTGGGAAATCGGTCCTATAATCAGTGAGCTGAGCTGGATTAACGGCGCCAGGCAACGAGTCGCAGCTTTCACTTTTCATTTATGTGCATTGCATTATGGATGTATTGATGACTGGTGTGTGCAGGGAAGGGGGTTGAAAGGGGGGTTGAGGGGGGCGGGGGCAGCCCTAAACACTTGCCCCACCGTCGCTTGGCTTTGGCTTGTGTTTATTTTAGGAGAATAAATGCTCTAATCCCAGACTTTGTTTTTGTCCCGCGCTGTTCCTTAAAATCACCACGTCACTGCTGTTGCTTCTCTTAACCTGTGGGTGACTTTATGAAACCCGGCCCAGGTATCAATAACCTGTTTGTAAGTGTGCTGTATGAGGTACTTGTCAGTAGTCAGTGTATTACTCCACTGGATGTCCAGTTTGGACAAACACACAGAAGCAACGTACTGCTGTTGATGTGTTTTACACAAAAATATCTATCTGTTTACGTGTACGCAATGTTTGATATTTACACAGCTTTACCTTGCTAGTAGTCTCTTTGCGAAGAGGAACTGAAGCCTTCATCTTGCTCTCATTACCAGAGTCCTTTGACCTTTCAGAACAAAGTCGACTGCTTTGTTTCTGTTGAATTTACAGTTTTTCGTGGCGTCAGATAACGACTTTAGTTCCCCATTTTTAAAAGTGCAGCTTTCCAGCAAGGTAAAGCCAGATTAGATTAGACCGAAAAACTAGGCGTCTGATAATTATTATATTTCTTATTGGAGGCTGAGGAGAACAAATACTCATACAACCACACTTCACTTGAACAATCCAAACGGTCCCTTTAAGCATACTTGGTGTAGATGGTGCGTTCAGGGGCAGATGGTGCAAAGCAGCGCTCAGTCCACATGGCCGTGTTTCTTGTTCGGGTTTCATATCATTTTACGGCTTCTGCTAACTTCATGAAACTCATGAATGTTTGTATTTTGTGTTGCATTATGAGTTTGTTGCTATCAACTTTTGGTTTACATGCTTTCACTTCTCCCCCCCCCCCCCCCCTCCCCCCTCTCCTCTCCTTCTGTATCTGATCCCTCCTCCATCATCCTGTTGCCGTCATCTTTCTTTTCAAACCATCATAATCCCCCCTTCCTTACTTTCCCATCGGTTTCATCACTCCCTCCCCCCTCCATCGTTGTTCAATCTACCCCCTCCCACCCCTCTCTCTTTTGGATTCTGCACCAATCCTGCACCCTCCCCCCCCATCGCCCTTTCCCCGCCTCCTCTCAGATCACAATAACCCGCGGCGAGGAGTGTGTGCTCGAGGAAAACTGTCAGAGGACCAAGTGGAAGGTGATCAGCACGACGGGGAACGAGGCTATGGTCCCCTCGGTGTGCTTCACCGTCCCACCCCCCAACCAGGAGGCCATCGACACGGCCAGCAGGTAACACAAGAGTTGGTAGTACGGCGTGGAATTAAGTTTCTATAGGCATGTTTCAGGAAGTGTTGAGCGACCTGTGTGTGTGTGTGCGTGTGCAGGGCCGAGCAGCTGTACCAGAAGGTCATGTCTCTGTGGCACCAACTGCATGTGAACATGAAGAGCGTTGTGTCCTGGCACTACCTGCTCAAAGATATCAGGACCGTCTCCGGATGGACGCTGGACACGGTGAGACTCTGCATCTCTCATTTCAGACTCCTTTTGCGCTCTGTCCCGCTCCCGTCCTCCCGCTCACTGTCTCCCCATTGCGCCTCACCCGTCAGGTCCGCAGTCAGGCCCCCGCAGAGCGGCAGCAGATCCTGGATCACCTGGACTCCCAGCTGGCCGACTTCCTGTCCGACAGCAAAGAGAGCGCCGTGTTCACGGCGGGCGAGAGGCGAGAGCTGGAGCAGGACGTCCAGCAGGCCCAGCAGCACTGCCAGGACCTGCTGCTCAACATGGAGACCGGTGAGACAAATATGTCTTCTGCAATGGGTCCACACACGCCTCCTGAACACGTGAATCTGAAATGACCAGTGGTACATTCAGGGGTTCTTTACTGAAGTGTCCTTTCATGCCACTCAATACTTTTATTCCATTACATTACTAGGAACACATTGTACAGTAATGTGTACATTACTAGGAAGGAAATATATAAAAGCAAATACTGCTCAGGTCCCCGATGACTCCTCTCTCTCTCTCTCTCTCTTTCTCCAGTGGAGAAGGACGAGTCGGTCTCCCGTTCCTACCTGTCGGAGCTACAGAACATCTCCCTTCATCTAGATGAGTCCGAGCAGAGACTAATTAGGGCGATCCAGACTCCGCCCCCCAGCCGGCTGTTAGGTGACGGCGTTGACGACACTCCTCAGATTGCAGAGCAGGAGGTCAGTTTAAGGCCCCGGCCGCGGTTTCTTGAGAAGGTTTGGCCTCTCCTGGGATGTTACTCAGCCCCTCCTTTCCCCTTGTTGTCCAGGAGCTGCAGTCGGATCTGGACGCCGTGCGCTCTAGTCTGGGCGACGTGTCTCGCCGCTGCGTCAGTTTCTTCGAGGAGAAGCCGACGTCCTCCGCTGTTCCCGTCCTCCGGTCGGAACTCAACCAGGTTGTGGAGAAGACGGACAAACTGCACAACCTCTCCACCGTCTACCTAGAAAAGTAACTAGAAAAGCTTTTTCCTCTTTCTGTTTGTTGAGCAACGCAGAAATATATACGTGAATGTGTCACTCCCGCCCTTTAACCTCCTCAGGCTGAGAACAGTGGACGTCCTGATGCGTAGCCTGGATGAAGCGGAGAGCCAGGTCAGGAAGAACGAGAGCAGGCTAAGTGAGGACGACACTGTTCCTGCAGACGCGGCGGCCATTCAAAGCCTCAGAGATCAACTGGGGGTAAGGGACACGACGACGAGTCAACGCCTCCTCCATGCAGTGAAAGTATTGCACCCTTGTGCTGGATCCTCTCCCTCCCGTCTCTCCCCAGAGGTGGCAGGCCGAGCTGGTCGAGCACGACGGCGTCTTCCAGGCTCTGCAGTCGGAAGTGGACCGGGCCAAAGAGGCGGGCTTCCAGCTCAGCAGGCTCCACCCAGACCGCAGCTCCGAGCTGGAGCGCTACCAGGAGAGGGCCAATCAGATGGCCGACAGGTGGAGCGGAGTGAAGAGACAGATGGAGACACGGTGAGCAGCACGGGGGGACGAGGGGAAGAGATGAGCAGAAGCATGTACACGAGTGAGGGAGGGCCGTGATGATTGTTACGGGGCTCTGTAACGCCAAGACACTCTGGAGATTTCTTTTAACATAAAATCCAAGTAATATTTTTTTTTATTCCAGGTTGTAATTGAACCAAATAGTAAAAATCTGCCGTGTTCTGAACTTGGTCTATACTTATAATGAATGACGTCCGTCTTTCCCTGCTTCATTCCAGACGAACCGACCTAGAAGCGCTGTGCTCGGCCCTGCAGCAGTACAGACACGGCCATTCCGCTCTGATCAGCTGGATCGAAGAAACCACGGAAAGACAGGAGAACACGCGGCCTGGACAGACGGACAGCAAAGCGCTGTCCGAACAGCTGGCCCAGCAAACGGTCCGTTACCCCGGAACGCCTCCCTGTCCCGGACGATGGAAAAATAGGTACACGACTTATTCAATCTGAGCAACCTAAATAAGTCATGTGTGTTCTTTCCCATTTCCCATCAGGCATTAGTAGCTGAGATTGAACAGAATCAGGCCAAACTAGACGAGTGCCAGACTCACTCCAAGCTGTACTGCACCTCAGTAAAGGTAAGGGACTCTGGTTTCTTTCTCGTGTGCATTGTTCTCGCACACCAAGAAGACCCGTAAATACATCTGATGAGGCAGTTTACAAACCAGAATTCTATTAATACATTAAAATACCCTTTGGTGTATTAAATCCAATGCATGCTCTCTCCTGTGCCCATTCTTTAGGACTATGAACTGCAGCTGATGACCTACAGAGCCTTCGTGGAATCTACGCACAAGTCGTCCGTCAAGAGGAGGAGGATACATTCTTCCTCTGACTCCATCACTCAGGAGGTGAGAACGAGAGTCCCGTGAACTGTTGTGATAAATATTGCGAACAAACCTTTATATACGTTGAGAGGATCTACATCTCGTGTTTCTCTCTGCAGTTCATGGACCTGCGCACACGCTACACAGCCTTGGTCACCTTGACAACCCAACACGTGAAGTACATCAGCGACGCACTGAGAAGACTAGAAGAAGAAGAGGTGAGGCTTTGTTTTGCTGCGCGTCTCCCTCCTGTTTGGAAAGTGTGTTTGGATTAAATCGCTGCGCTGCAGTTTGACTTTGAGATTCATCTGGAATTATTTGTATCTGTGCAGAAAGAGGTGGAGGAGGAGAAGCAGGCCAGGGTGGGGCAGGTGTCAGACCTGCTGGGCTGGGTCAAAGGCCTACAGGGACGGACCGGGGGCCCAGACGCAGAGTCCTCGCTCGCCGCTCAACAGGTATTAGAAATCCACCATGACACAGACAAGCAGCATTTCAGCACATCAAAAGCTGTGCTGTGTTTTCTGTGCAGCTCGTCCGCTGCTTCCTTAAATACACGTTTCTTAAGGATAATGCTTCCTCTGGAAGTAAATGTAATTTGCTGTCTAATTAAAACATGAAACATGGCGGTTGTGCTGGACTGAGACTCATGCACGTGTGTTCTTCTAAAGGCCGTCAGTGAACAGCTGGCAGCCAAGAAAGACGAAGTGGCTGAAGCCATCAGGAGCGCTCAGGTCTTCCTGCTGTCAAAACAGGCCAACAAGTAAGGTCCCGAACAACACATTCACTACACACCGCAACACACGTGGGCCCTCGCACACGGTACATTCTCATCCAGCTGCTCGTCCTGCAGATTCAGAACTAAAGGGACTTTTTGAAGTGTTTGAAGTCTCATGTGGAACATACGTGTCGATAATACAAAAAATCCTTTTTGGGTACATTGCACATTTAATTCATTAGCCCCCCCGCCCCGCCCCAACCCCCCTGTGTCCTCCTCAGGTTGTCCTCAGAGGAGCGTGCTCATGTTGAGGCACAGCTGGACGAGCTGAAGGCCACCTACAAACAGCTGTGCAACAGCTCCGCCCAGCAGCTGCAGCAGCTGGAGCAGCAACTGGCCAAAGAGGAGGAAAGAAAGGTACACGGGTGGGAGGGTTGGGCAGAGAAGGAAAAGGGAGTAGAGACGATGTGTGACAAAGATCTAGTTTCAGGTTTAGTAAGCTTGTCAGAATGTATTTGTGACATTGCCGAAAACGCTTGCAAGCTGAGTGTGTGTGTGTGTGTGTGTGTGTGTGAGCGCGTTGTACAGCATGATGTGTATTCACAGACTTTTGACCCACATCACCTCTATTGATAAGTGTTTAACAAACAAAACATCACAGACCCTGTTCAGACGTGTATCCAGATGATCCAAAAATAACTAAATTTTTTTGTACTGTAAAAAAAGAAAGCGATATGGGACCAGAAGAATTCACTGCATGACACTGTCTGAACCGGGCCGTAGCATGGAGTGTTCCACCCACTAAAAGCCTGCACTCATTTCATAGTTGTTTTCATCATCATCACCATCGCTGTCATCATCATCATCAGAAAACGCATCTGCTGAACTGCTAATACACGGCCTCAGTGGTGCTGCACCAGTCATGCTAGCAGTTATCTGGAATCTGTAGCGCTCCGCCATCGTTAGAAACAAATCATTTACGGAATAGATTCACCTTCCCATCCTAATCATCTGTAGCTACAGAATAGTATCATGTTTCTTTATGTAGTTGTAAAAGAATGCAACAACATAAAGTAAACACGTCACGTTTAGATAGTTTGTACTCTGTATACACATAAGTTTACCGTATGTGTACAATAGTCCATTTCTTCATGAGCTGTCAGCTCTCATTTTGTCATTGCTCTTCTGCCACATACAATATGGTACGTCCATCAAAGAAATGTACTAAATGTGTGAGATATCTAGTGTTTTCAAAGCAATCCGTGATGATAATTCTTGTCTTGACAGCTGCACCTCACGGCTGATTCTTCTGTGAATGTTCTATGTTTTCAAAGGGGACTTTTATGTGTCTTAAAAAAAAAATACTCATTCAAGTATAGACGTTTAAAAAAAAAAGTTATTTTTAGGGGTTATACGTGTAAGTGCACCAGAAGCCAGCTATGCATAAACACTTCACCATTTGAGCATGTTGGGTCCAGATCACCAGAGTGTGTGAATGACAGTTGTTGTCTGTTCTAATGCATACCATTAATGTGTGAAACTTTAAACCAGCATTTTGCTTGAAAACCACTAACAGCAACCAGAGGTGACAACCGAACTCTGGGCCAAGGATCCGAATGGGGAACGGAAAATAAAGCAGGACATTTGTAAACAAACCAAATAGTCAGATGAGGTTACTGCTCAGTTTGCACAGTGTGAACCGTATCGCGTCTCGCAAGACAATACTGCTAGTGCTTTGCCAACGATAACGAGTATAACAATCTTATGTCAACACGCTAAAAATCTGCAGTTCATCGTGGTAGTCGTGCAACTGAAGCGCCACGCAAACCTTCCAGTTATTTTTCTGACCTAAAGTAAGGTCAGCAGGAGCATTTAGTGTCAGTGCAGTGATGGAGTCACAATTAAGAGTGGCATGCTGAATGCTAACAACCAGCTTCTCACCTGTTGCGCCTCGCTCTGCCGAGCCATAAGTCCCTTAGTGGGACGAGCCCGTACGGTAAGTGTGCTCGCTTTCTCTTTTCTCTCAACTAGATATTCTATCCACCTCTTCCTCTGATTTTGTGTGTCTTTGTTTTGTTTTCTTTTGGCTTTTCCTCTATTTTGTTTCTTTCTAGTTGCTTTTTGCATGCTTAGTGCTTGTTTTAGAACTGCAGTAGTAAGTATTTGATAGGAAAAAAAGTTGAAAGTTGTTATATTTAATTATGAGTTTTTTATGCTTTTATCCTTTATGTTTTTATGGAAACTGGTTTTGGGTTTTCCTCTTTTTCTAATTCTACCATCTGATTCTGCATGAAATGCTATAATAGTATACATAGTATGATGGTATAGTATAATAGTATCATTATTTGATGGGATTTGATTTGAAGTGTCATACCACTATTAGGTTGTTGAAAAAATGTCATCTGAAATTTTGTTTTCTTTGTTTTTGTAGAACCAAACTGCCATTGCTGGAGTAATTGACCTGGGAACAGTGGAAACATTCCCAGTGTTTAAAGCAGCCCAACGTGGTCTTATTGACCAGGACACCTGCCATGTGCTGCTGGAGGCCCAGCTCATTATGGGTGGTCTCCTCCAGCCTGACTCCACTCTCAGTCTGTCCCTGGAACAAGGTCTAGCTGAAGGCCTTATTGACGCACACACTGGACAGTGCCTTTCTGAGCTAGAGAGAGCCTGGCTTTTGGTGGAAAATACCAAGTGTACAGATGACCAACAGCAAAACGTGTTGCCAGTAACTGCAGCAATGGAGTCGGGGGTCATCCGAGAGGAGGTGGGACTTCGCATTTTAGAACTCCAGATGCACACTGGAGGCCTGAGGAGCTCAAAGGGAAGAATTATGAGTTTGGAGCAAGCAGATGACAAGAGACTTTTGTCTCCCGGCGCCTTCACCAAACTCCAGTCGAGACAACAACAAAAAGAGCTGATTGATCCGAACACAGCAGAAACACTAAACCTGCATGGGCTACTGGAGCGCTGCGTCCTCGACAATGACTCCGGTCTCCTCCTCCTCCCTGTCAAACAGCAACCTGGGGGGACTGTCTGCCTCCAGTCTGGAAGAAAAGTTGGCATTTTCCGCGCGATCCAGGAAGGTCTGATTGATCGGAAAGTGACTGTACGACTCCTGGAAGCTCAGCTCTTTGCTGGTGGTATTGCTGACCCACGGTCTGGCCACCGACTGACCGTCCATGAGGCGGTTCGTCATGGGCTTATGGACCAGGATCTGGCCTGTGCCACGTTAGCCCGACAGCTGCAAGATGGAGGAATTCTGGACCCCGTCAGTGGAGAACGCCTGGATTTGGAAGAGAGTATACGCAGGGATCTTCTCTCTCCTCGTTTGGCTCTGTTGGTCCTTGAGTCTCTCGGGGCGTTCATGGGGTTACTGTGGCCTGAATCTGGAGAACTCCTGCCCTTTGCCGAGGCTCTTCAACAGGGATCGATCTCAGGGGAGCTTTCAAAGAACACTCTGAGGCAGCGACATGTCATTGAGGCTTTGTATAACCCGGAGACCCTCCAGGTGCTGCCCCTAAACCAGGCTGCTGAAGAGGCCCTTGAGCCCAGTGTTGTCAGTTTTCTCAAGAGCACTCACATCCCAGATGTTCTTTCCAGCATCAACCAGTCAGTGACTCCATCTCCAAACCGCTTAAGCTGGGGTTCAGCCAGCTCTTCTCCACCTCCATCCTCTCCATTGCATTCATCGTCTCCTGCAGGCCTTGTTTGCGATGCAACACCAACATATGGGATGGACCCAGAAGAGCAAGCAAAAGACAAGCTGCTCTTTCACCTCATGACTCACAGCTATGTGGATGCTCATTCTGGAAAAAGATTAGTGCTGCTCGACTCTGAGTTGGTGGAGTTGGTCAAAGCTACTGAACGGATTGCTAAAGCCTCTAAAAGTCAAATTGAGCCAGAAAGCAGTTTAACCAAAGATGAACGGCTTCGAAGGGTGGGAGAGTTTAGTCTGGCAGACATAGCAATTAGTGAAACACAAACTATGGTTGAAAAAGAAAGTTCAGACATCACGCCAAGTAAAGAGCAGAGGAATAGTACAGGTAGTCTAGGAGAAAGGTATGACAGAGAAAGTGAGAAGAAAGTGGTGCAATCATCAGTAACTACAGATAGGGATTTAGCCTTTGAAGCTATCAATGAAAGTACTGTGGCTAAAGATGTTAAAGAAAAAGCTAAAAATCTTGAAGGGCCAAATGAGGTGGTGGCAACTAAATTCAAACCAAGGCCTGATGGCGGCCAGGAGGGGGCTATTAGTACAATCACATCAGAAGAAACAAAAACTCCCAAGTCCAAAGCACTGGGAGCAAATGTAACTGAAGATGTTAAATCAAACAAACAAACCAAACAACAAATGCTTAATACGGAGACTGACTCCGAGCATGCAAGCCTTCACACGGATATCTGTGATTCAGGAGTGGAAAAGAAAGGGGAGGATACTGAATTGGCAAAGTTAGTCCGAGAGCTCCAACGAGGAGGTCTGATGACCGAGGAAGGGGAAAAGTTGCTCCCAGATGAGGCAGTGGCCCAAGGAGTCATTCCTGGCCACACCGCAGTTAAATTGATGGCTCAGACTGGTCTGTTTGGGGGTTTCCTGGATGCAAGGAGCGGGGAGTCACTTAGCATGGAGGATGTTGGGCTTGATGAAGAGCTAATGTGGAGTGTTCTAAAGGCAGATAAAATGCTTGCAGGGGTTGTAGATGCAGAGAAAAAGCAGATCTGCGGGGTAAGACAGGCTGCTCAGGCAGGGTTGATTGACCCAGACACCGCTGCTCGACTTCTGGAAGCCCAGGTGGCTTCTGGGGGCATTGTTGACCTAGGTAGGGATGAGAAAGTCTCTGTCACACTTGCAGCCACCCTGGGACTAATTGAGGAGGATCAAAGAGAAGAATTGGTGGCGCTAGAGAAGGCATACAAAGGTAAGAACACTGATTTAGCAACAGCCCTCACTAAAGCCAGTTTACAGCTACAGATGGATGGGTTTATTGACCCAGAGTCTAAGTCTCCAGTTCCTCTGGAGGAAGCTATTCAGAAAGGGTTAATTAGATCTGAAGAGGCCTATCAAGTGTTGGCTAGACAAGTGGCTGAGGGTGGTATAATACACCACGCCTCAGGGATGAGGCTGTCTGTTCCTGATGCTGTAGATAGAGGACTGGTGGATCGATCCATTGCGCCCGGGCTGGAAGAACTAGAGTGGGTTTACCAAGGAAAAATCAGCTCTTCATCTCATCCAAAAGCTGTTGTTTTCCAGGCTTCGACAGGAGCTATTTTAGACCCCGACTCTGGCAGTAAACTGACCTTAACAGAGGCGGTTGCTAGGCGTCTTCTGGATGAGAATATTGCCAGAGACGCCATGGCGTCTTCAACTGTAAGAGGAGTGCTTGACCCTGAAAGCGCACGCATTGTGCCTTACTCTGATCTTGTAAACAGGGGAAAGATAGATATTGGAACAGGCAAACGCTTCTTAGAGGTGAAACCCTTCAGAGGTGTTCGAGATGGTCAGACAAGAAACCTCTTGACCCTTCCCGAGGCAATTGCATCAAAGCAAGTAGACCCAGTTCCAGCATTGAGGCTGCTCCAAAGCCAGGCAGACAGTGGAGGGATCATTGACATCAGTACTGGAGAAAGGCTCCCGCTACCCGAAGCCTGTGAAAGAGGGTTAGTTGAAGACAACATGGCCAGGGTGATATCCACCAACCAGTTGTTGAAAGGAGGCTTAGTTGATCCCGCCACTGGACAACGAGTCTCTAATCTCGAGGATGCCGTTGCAAAAAAGCTGATCTCCAGGGACGTAGCTTCAGAGATTCAGGAGAAATTGGCTTCTTTGGAATTTGAGGGGGGTGAAGGTGGCGCTGTTGCCTCAGCGATTGGCACATACGGCCCGGCTGTTAAAATGTCAGTGTGAGCCCGGACAGTCCAGCAAACCGGTCAGACGTAAACTCTGAGATACTCACAAGAACTCCACTTTCAAAGGAAGGTTTAGAAATTACATTGGGTGAAGGAAAGACATTGATAGCTATAATACCGACTCCAAAAGAGGAAACAATTGTGTCAGTGGAGGATAAGCCTGCAGTTGAGCGTGAACAATCCCTGGACCTCTTGTGTGAATTTGTTACTAATGTTGAGAAAAGAGTTCAAGAAGCTATTGAACAGATTGTTCCACAGACAAACATCCGCAAGTCAGAGCCTCCCCTTAAGCAAAAGCCCGATGAGAGAGTGCAAGTGGCCGTGAGTGAGACTGAAAACGAAAGAAAAAGGAACCTTTTCAGAGGTGTTCTTGGGGAATCCATTCAGACATATGTTGGTGATGTAGACACAGATTTACAGGGAGAGGTTAGAATAGAAGCTGCAGCTTTAAAGTTGGGTGAGGAACCTGTTGAGGTTGGGGAAAAGGAGTGTAGAGCGAGTGATGAGAGTAAGTCAGTGGTTCAGTATGATTCTGAAGATGGAAACCAGGCAGGTTTTGTGGAGGCAGAGTTGAGTGATGACAGAGAAAGAAAAGCTGGCATTGAAGAGGATTATGAAAAGAGTGACCTGGCAACACAGAGTGATGATGTTGAAGACAATAAGGGCAATAGAATGGAGGGAGATGAGCCTGTAAAGATTGAGACAAAGCCTAGCAAAGACGCGGAGCAGTCAGACCAGTTGTTGACTTCTCCATCCAAGGAGACAGAAAGCAAAAGTAAGAAGAAAAGGAAGAATAAAAAGAACGGAAAACACAAAGGCCCAGAGAGAGAAAAGCACTTTGCAGAGATGAAACCATCGCAAATTGATCAGGCTGATGCAAATATTGAAGGGCAGCCTGCAGTTCATCAATGTAAGTACATCACAGGAGAAACCACAGGAATCCCAGGTTCATCTCAGAGAAAGTGAGGCAGAGAATGACCGAGAAGATGAGGCTCAACATAATTTAGTAAAACAGGGACACGAAGCAGTTCCAGCATCCTTTGAATTGACAGAGAAAGATGTAATTGAGCCAGAGAAAGATGTAATAAAAATTGCCTTGAAGGACACAGAATTTGGTGATAAAAGAGAGGAGATGGAACAGGAGCAGAAGGAGAAAGTCGAAGAGGCTCAGCGACCAAAACAACAGGAATGCAGTCAGGCGCTAACAGAAAGGGAGGAGCAAGAATTCCCTCTAAAATCTGCTCTACCAAACGACGAGAAAGCCGCCCTGATACTGAAAGCCAGAGAGAGTATTCTTAAAAAGGTGTTTGAAAAAGGTGTGAGTGAGAAGCAGGCTGCCGAGGAGCTGCAAGCACTGCGCAAGGAGGTGGGGAAGGAGAGGCGAGGCAAGACTGCAAGGACACAACCTCTGCTAGCCGAGGCTGATGGGGGGGGGAGTTATGATGGTAATGTAAAGAGACCAAGTGGGTCACCTGAAGAGTGTAAGGAAGACAAAATGACGTTCGGAGGCGTTAAAGTAGGTGAGGCCTTCAAGGAGGACATGGAGAGCCAGGTGGCTTCAAACGAGAAGGACAGAAGCTTTGGAAAAGAAGGCGTTGGAATGGCTCCATCCCGCCAGCCTAAAGAAAGCGACCAAAGTAGACAAAGAAAGAAGAACAAGAAGGGTAAGAGTCTAAAAGTGGCCGACAAAACCCAACCTCATACAGAGGAGTTAACGACGGAGAAAGTGGATTCTGACACAAAAGCTGCAATGGCTAAACCAGGATTGGAAAACCCAACTTCCCCTAAGATGCAGGAGACGGACAAACAGCCAGCCAGAGACATCGAGAGACCTTCAGTTGTTGAAGGAGAGACCTTTCTAATTAATGTTGATGTAGATGAGAGCGGCCAACAAAGTCTACCACATTTACGTCAATCAGATGAACCCCATTCTCACACTGAGGAACACGTCCAACTGGCAGCCGGTACGTCTGTCAGGAAAGAAGAATCACCGACTGACTTTTCTTATAAGGCTGTCGCCTGCAAACTGGACATCCAACCCACAGCTCAATCAATTCCTACCGGCACGCAAGCAGATAAAACGGCAGGGAAGGGTAGGAAGAAGAAAAGGCCCCGACTCGCTGAACCGGATTGCTCCAGTGTTTCCCAATCAAAAGACCAGCAGCAGCACCTTGAGTCTGCGAAATCAGCGCCGTCGCTCTCGGAAGACTCTTTAACCGAGTCTGACTCGCCTGGAGTCCCTGAGTCTGATACAGCCTCCGAGAGTTGGGGGGAGGGAGAAGACGATGTGAGAGAGAGTCGAGAATCTGTGTCAAACCAAGAGAGGACCGCCTCGACCGGCAAGGTAAGAAGTGGCCGATCTTTAGTCAAACATGTATCGACATATCCTCTGCCTACATTTATTCACCAGTGTCATTATGTTTTATCATCTTTGTTCTTCCCAAAGTCGTCCCTGCTGCGTCAGGAGTGCTTGGAGCGCGACCAGCGACTCGTGGCCCTGCTCTCTATGGTCAGACACGTTGAGGTCCAACTCAAACAGCAGCATCAGCAGTCCGTGGGCCGCAGCCTCATCGCCCTGGATGACATCATCAGACAGACTGAGGTGAAGATTAGGTGGATTTACCTGATTGAGATATGCTCTTATACTTACGTAACGCCAGCCAACGTGAATGTACCTGTGTTGACCGTGGAATTACTTCTCAGTTTCAGTCGTGTATTTGGTTCCCAGATTGAGACCAAAAGAAAGCCGATTAGTGGATTAGTCTCTTACTAGCGCATTAAGAAAACATTTGTTTCCTAATCTGTCTCGCAGACTCTGGACCTGGAACTGCGTGACTTGCAGCCCGTGGTCACCGAGGAAGTGGAGGCCGCAGAGGAGCTGTTGAAGCCCCACCCCAAAGACGTTCCTCCGCAGCTCCTATTGGCCGTGGAGAAGGACGGGCGGAGCTTGGCTCGAGGCTATGAGGCTGCCACGGCTCTTTCTCAGGGCATTCTGCAAAGTCTACGAGACCATAGGGACTCCTATAAGGTAGAAGGAGCAGGAAAACTATGTGACCATTTGTTTGCAGCGGTCGCTTGGAACCATGATTGTCAATTACGTTTTTTGGTTCAGAAGAATTCCTCGTTTTCCGCCTCCCCTTTTGATTCGAATCGTTGTGCTGTTTCTCTTAGGAGGCAGTAACAGCTGAGCTGAAGTCGCTGGGAGGACAGGTGGAGAGTCTGCTCTCCTGGTTGCGGGAGACAGAGGCTCAGATGAATGGAGGAATGGAAAAAATGGAGGAGGCAGAGAAAGACGACCATTGTGATCAGCTCACACAGCAGCTGAATCTCTGCAAGGCGAGTTGTCCGTGGATGCTGTGGCACCTTCGGAGACTGTTCTCTCTGCGCCACCCGCAGGGCAATGGAGGAATAACGCATCTACCGCTTTCCATCCTCTGGCCTTTCAGGAGCTCCAGTTCGCCCTGACGGCTCGCTCCGGTGAGGTCAACGGCGCGGCCTTCGACGTCCAGGTGTTCATCTCGGAGCGAGCCCAGGACATGGCCCCCGAGCAGAGCCGCCAGCTCCTGGGGCAGCTCCAGCAGCTCCAGAGTGCCTTCCACCTGGCGTCCGGACAAGCCCAGGCCTGGGCCGACGCCCTGTCCGCCCAGAGGGCGAGGGAGGAGGAGCGGCAGCGCAGGGAGAGAGTCAAGGAAGAGGAGAAGGAGAGAGAAGGGCGGAGAGCAAGGGAGAGAGAGGTTTGGAAAAAGACGGGGTGGGGTTGGCTTGAAAGCCGGCACGGTTTCCCGCTTATATTCAGTTAGGTTGACTAGACTATATGTCAGAGCTTCATATGTCATGCTGTAAGCTATTGCCCTGCTTTCTTACTCAAGAGCACTGTACTCACATTCTATTAAAACATATCAAACTCATTTCACTCTAGGAACCATAAACGCCTGATGTAAACAAGCTAACCTCTACTTAACATGCACTCCCATCATACATCACCTCAAATCTAGTCTCAACATTCTAGTGCTGCTCGTGTTGCAAAAGCTTGGCCATATGACGTAGACAGTGTCACCACCCTGGATCCTACCAGGGCTTTTAATGCCCCTCTGCTTGTCTCCATAACGTGTGTTTTATTAACCTGTTTGCCTTGCTGTTCCAGATTGCCACTGAAGGAAATCGCTTGTGTTACGGCGGTAACAAAGGCCAGAGATCTGATAGCAGAAAAGGCCTTGCTGGCTACGGCGCTTAACAGTTTTTCCTCTTGTCTCACTCGAATGAAGAGAGGAGAGAGGAAACACGGCCAATAAACGTGTATTTGTTTGATTTCTCTGTGTCGTTTGTTGTCGTTGCTGTCGTTGAAGATGCTTTGTGTGTATGTGTGTGAGCGTGAACTCTGGACACAAACTGCTCAAAGCTTGGCTAAGTGTGCACTACACAATAATCCACTTCAGGGGGAAACGTAAAAGGAAATGCTGGTTTAGAGCAGAGCTTGTTTAAGGGCTTGTGATGGACTAATGTCAGCAACTGTTTTCCTCACACGTTCTCTCTCTGTGGATCTCTGCTCTACTCGCTCACTTCCCTCAGGTGGTTCAACAGCAGAAAGCTGAATGCTCCCAGAAGCTAGAAGGCCTCACCGTGTGGTTAGCTGGAGCTGCCAGCCTACTGGCCAGTCAGAAAGCTGGAGCGGAGTCATGTGACGTGAACACCTTGCAGGAGAAGCAAAAAAGACTAAAGGTAGGAAACGTAGAACATTTAAAGAGCTAAATTACTTTGCACAGTTGCAACTGCATGTATCTGCCTTCTCAGTTAACTTTTTTGAACAAATACATTTTGCCTCATTACCCAGGAAGCTCAGAAGGACCTTCAGACCAAAGAGGAGGGCATCAGCGAGACCATCCGCTCTGTGGAGGAGCTCCTGGCGGACCGGGGAGAGAATCTGAGCCCAGAGGAGCGGCACAGCCTCCAGGGTGCGTTGACCAGGCTAAAGGAGCAGTACAGCGCCCTGAAGGATTCAGCCACCGCGACGCTGTCCGAGGTGGACACGGCCATCAATACCACCGTACAGCAGAACACGCAAAGGGTGAGCAGCTGTCTGTTCAGAGACTTTTTATTGTTTATGCGTAGCTTGTTTTGGTCTCACTCCCCCCCTTTTCTCCCCTTCCCTCCAGGCAAAGGCTGTAGAGGACCTCCAGGAGACCAAGGGCCAGATAGACACTCTGCTGAAGGACCTGTCCTCCATCAACCAACCAGGCGGGACAGGAGTTGGATCCGGAGTGACCCAAGATGTCACTGCGGCGCCGTTCTCTCAACCGGAGGGCGCCTTGATGTCACACACAGAGGCGCTTCAGGTTTGGGACCTCCACTTGTGCGCATAGCACATTTCTGACTTTAAAATGCCTAAAAACGTTACAAAGTCCCTGCCCTCCATTCCAGGCGGAGCTTCAGCAGCTCCAGTCTCAGCAGGCCCAGCTGCATCAGATCGCACAGTCGACCCGCTCCCTTCTGGACCAGCCGGACTCCGCGGTGCCTCCTGAAGAGAAGCAGCGTCTCCGGGCCGCCCTGGACCAGCTGCAGGCCCAGCACCAGGACCGGCTGCAGAGCTGCCAGGTACTCAAAATACATACAGATGTTAAGTCTGCAGCAAGGTCTCCTGACCTGCTTTATGTGCTGATCTGTGACATATGGAGCTTCATGTCATTGCAACCTATTGGACACCAGTGGTGCATGCTTGGTGTTTTCTTATGGCTGCCTGACTCCTCCTCTTGTGACTATTTCCTCTAGGACCGCCTCAGGAAGTCTGAGGCTCTGAAGGATGAGCTGATGAAGTTCCTCCAAGAACATGGAAGTTTAGGTGCCTGGCTGGAACAAAATGAACAGGAGCTACTTTCCCTGGCGGAAGGAGAAACCGATGCACAAGGACTGAAGGGCAGACTGGAGGAGCACAGAAAGGTACACGTGTTACTAACATAACATACATTTACATACAGCGGTGATAGAAGAGCTGGGTGCTGTGTTTTATATCTTTTCCCAGACATTTTGTAGCGGTAATACTTTCCATCAACAGTCATTTCTTTTTTCCCCAACTGACCTGTAAACATGTCTGTACTTCCAGCTGGCGGAGGATGTGATTTGCCACAAGGCGGACCTGCGCTTTGTTTCCATCTCGGGTCAGAAGGTTCTGGACTCCCTACAAGGAGCTCTGGAGCAAGTGGGCAGTTCGGACCCGGCCCTGGACAGCACTAAGCTGCTGGTAACTGACAAGCTGCAGGACGCCAACCACAGATACACAACCCTACACACCAAGGTGAGGGATTCTTTACTTCTGGCATGTCCTTCTTGAATGCACACACATTGAAACTGTGGGTGCGTGCAGTCCACAGAGTTGGGGGGGCGTTTGTCCGGCCTGTTGGAGCGGTACCAGCAGTACCAGGATGAGGTTGTTTCCGTCCACTCTTGGCTGAGCGCTCAGGAACAGAACCAAAGCAAAGCCAAGCCCAGCGGGGAGACAGACCCCCAGAACCTGCAGGACACACTACGACAAGTGCAGGTAAAGACACACACGATCGCAGCGCAAACACAGGCTGAGGGAAGGAAGGTTTTGAGAGGATGGGAAAAACTGAATACAGAATAATGCGTCAAGTTTAACGCTGTGTTAAAGGCTGGTCTTTCATTTCCTGTGGAATGTGTCACCCGTCCTCAGCTGCTGCAGGATGAGCTGGCTGAGCGCTCGGTGCAGCTGGAGAAGGTGAAGAGAGCAGGAAGAGATCTGGTCAGCACAGACGAGTCTCCTTCCCTGAAAGCTGTTGACATCCTCTGTGCTGCAGGTGAGATACCCCCCCCCACCCCCCCACCCCCATCGGTCTTATCCCCAGACGACTGCCTTTGAATAGGATTCAATTTGAAGGAGGGACGAAGAAGTAACATTTGATTTTGCCCTCTTCCGTTCTCCTTTTCAGATGGTTTAGAGAAGAGGTTCGGCTCCCTCTCTGCGTCGGTATCAGAACGGGCCGAGCAGCTGCAGACGGCTGTGGCTCAGTCCGTCAGCGTCCAGGAGGGCCTGAAGGGTCTGCTGAGCTGGCTGGAGAAACTGGTTCTGAATCCCGCGCCGGTCGAACCCACCGCACAGGCCGTGCAAGACGCCCTGACACAGAACCAGGTAGGAGTGAACCAGAGGCAACGCTGCAGGTCACATCTCGGAATCAAGACATTTACCGGAGGTTTCATTCCCCGTCTCCTCACCTTTCCCCAGAAACTTCGCCAGGAGCTGCTGTCCCGACAGGGCAGCGTGGAGGCCACGCGAGAGTCCATTTCCAAACTCCTCCAGAGCTCTGACGCCTCCACGGCCTCGGGCCTCCAGGGCGCTCTGGATGATCTGACCGAGCGCTACGCCGCGGCACAGGCTACCCAGGCCGAGAGGGAAGCTGAGCTCAGAGGGCTGCTGCCCAGGCTGGAGGGCTACGAGCGGCTGGGGATCGACCTCCGGGCCTTCACCCAGAGCCGCCACAAGGCTCTGAGCCCGGCGGGCCAGCCGGACCGCAGCGTGGACGACTACAGACAGACCATAGAGGTCAGCAGGGGTGTCCTCTACAGCGGTGGTTCTCAACTGGTGGGGTCCCGCTTTCAGTGGGTTGAGGGTCTTCGTCGGGGGTTCGGGTGATTCGTTTACAGTGTGGATGCAGGGTTTTGTGTTTCAGGGTTTTTAGGACAATATAAAATTCAGTTTATTATTATTTTATAATTATGATTATTTATTAAATAACTATTTCTAAAAGATTTACACTGGACCACACACGGGACATTGAGCATGACCTTAGATTGGCCCTCTCGCTCAATTTGCGACTTAAGTTGTGATGGTGGGACCAGCAGACAGACCAGTTGAGAACCACTGATCTGCAGTACAGTCTCACGTGAGTTGAACAATTTCAAGGTCCTAAGACCTCTGGATCAGGGCATCAGTGGGCTACTCGTACCGTCGGCCCGTTCAAACCTTTGGTCCTTTTCGCAGGAGGTCCGGTCCGAGCTGGAGCAGGAAGCCGGTCAGCTCAAGTCCTTCTGCAACCTCGGCACCGAGCTCAGCCAATCGAAAGCTTTCAACAGCACTCGAACCTTACTGGATAACGTCAAGGGCGTGTCTGATGAGTTCACCCAGCTGGAAGCCAATGTCAACAAAAGGTGACAATATTAATTGCACAAGAGAGATTTTAAGTTTTTAATTTTCATAACTTTGCTGAGTACCGTTTTGTCCTTTTTTGGTCCCGTTTCACACTAAAACATGGACACAAATCAATGTGCTGGTTGCTTTGCCTCAGTATCATATTATGTTATTATTTTTAATAATAATTGCAATAATGGGAATGATAATTCAAGCTGAAGCTTTTTAATAACCTTTTCATAGATTTGCCAGTGTACCATAGCAGACACAGGGGGGCACCAAACACAAAGCTGCTTGTTGTTTAGTTGTGTAGTTCAATTTCATTCTTACGGAGGATTGGGGTTTCATACGTAACTTTGGCTTTTGATGTTGAAACGTGACGTTGGTTACTTCCAGTTTGACTCGGATAGAAATCAACGTTTTGAATCGATATAATGAGACTGCTTTTACCCGCTCTGTAGAACAGACCGAGCCGCTGGCATTTCCAAAAGGTCTTTGCTAAATGTGTGGCCTTTCTGGAGCACCAGTTGCTATGCCGACCCTGTTTGACGTGGTATCAGGGAGCAGCCTCACTTGAGGCCCTTCAGAGGGGGGGGGGGGTTATAAATACCAGCAGTCTGATGCAGATTCATACTTGACTTTGGTGAGCCAGTTGTTTGCTAAATGGCAGTGGTTTGATGGGCATGTTTGAATATGTACATGATGTAGAGCAGGGGTCTCAAACTCAAGTCAGGTACGGGCCAGATGCAGCCCACCTCGACCGAACGCGGGCCAGACCATTATGGCCGACGGGGGGGATGACACTGACGGTCCGACCGGCGAACGGAACGGTCGGCGCTGGGGTGGAGGTTGTAAGTGGCTGCTAACAGCGAGGTTGCTACAATATAGAACTCGCGGGCCGCACTAACATTACACTTTCATATGAAGGCGGGGGCCACAAAATATCGTCCCGAGGGCCACAATTGGCCCGCGGGCCGCGAGTTTGAGACCCCTGATGTAGAGGATTATTTGCTGTGCTGACCGATGCTCCACAGCAGTTGGCTGCTGTATAGTGTGTTTGTGTGTGTGTGTGTGTGAGCCGGACGGCAGGCGGACGGGCGGGTGGGGGGGGGTTAGACGCGGCTCATTGTTCGCACTATAAATGGACGCCTCCCGGCCTTGACTCCCGAGGAGGAGACAAAATAGGAGCATGATAATGATTTACCTCGAGCCAGACGGAGAACGTGTCCGAGCCGAGTTTATAAAACTATCCAACAATACTAATCGGATCAATGCCATTTTATATCAACAAAAATTCTATTCTGCAATATCGTAATATCTCAACAGCAGATAAAAGCATTCGTTTGTGCAGGGAGGAGTTTGTGTCTGAGGAAGGGGGTCGATCACATGTTGCTCGTGTAGTTAAACCTTTTGTCTGTAGGTAAATCTATATGTGTGGAGACAGAGGTGTATTGGTTAGTCAGTGGTAAAACAAAAGGACATGTGCCCAACGTCACGTTATACCACAGAATTCTATCCACAGCGCATCCGGAGCTCTGCAGTTCATGACCAGACACAATCGCTTGTTAAACAATATATCCCCCCCATGCACCTCCTCCTCTCCCTCACCACGCCCGTCCTTCGTCGACTCTTCCTCACGCCATCCTCCTCCTCCGCTGTCCCCGCGCAGGTTCGCTGCGATCCAGGCCTGCGAGCAGCAGCTGTTGCAGTTCCGCGGCCTCTCCGGCTCGCTGTCCAGGTGGCTTCAGACGGCGCAGGACCAGCTCCCCTCCAAAGAGGCCAACCTCAACACGGAGGGCCTGCAGAGGAGAGTCCAGCAGCTCACGGTGCGTCTTGACCCTAGAACCTTGCACCAGTAAAATGTGCTCTCGGAGCTCCACAACTCAGCAGTTTCTATACATGCAGGACCTGATGAATGACTGGGAGTCTCAGAGATCAAGGGTCCAGGAGCTGAATAAGACGGGCTCAGAGCTGGAGTCCCTCATCATCGACGTCACAGCGCCTCAGACCAAAGCGGGTAAGAGACTGAGCAGAACACATCTGTCCTCGCTGTAAACAACTTGCATCCTTTTTTGAAGTGATTTGAGGTGAGGTTCAAAGATGTTGTGGGCAAGTGGATCAAGTCATCAAGTAGTTGTTAAAACTGTTTTGAGTTTTCTGTGTTGCTTGCGTGTCAAACCTTTTGACAGGTTTTCTGGTGGCAGGCAGTAAGAAATATAATTTTACTATAAACGGTAAAGGTGCTTTTTATTTTTTGTCAGGGTTGGATCAGAGAGGAAACCTTTGCATTGGCTGAAATTGTAGTTCAGGTTAAGCAAGTTGATCGATCAAGCACTAACGCCCCTTTGTGATGCATCCATAAACTGTTAGCGTAAAGACTATGGGTGTCCATTCATAAATTGTCTGTTGTATAAAGACTGCGTATCCATCCCTCATGCCTATCGAGCTGTCGTGGCTTTTTTTTGTGCCACGTTGTCCCGCTGAGCTGTGTGCGCTCTGATGCATTTGTGAGTAGACAGCTTCCTGGTGCTGTTGTACGTCGGCACATTAGAGAAATTGTCGTTAAAAGTTATGTAAACGGATACGATTTCTGAGAAAAAAAAGTAAATTTTCTTACATTTATTGTACATTATTTTTCACCTCATTTAGTAAATTTACCATCTCAATCACTGAGTTTCTTTCTCCCAATTTAAGGTGATCCCTGACTTGGTCATTCCCATTTTATTCAAATTTTTAAAATTTAAAAATGTTTCGCTACTAAGTCCCTAAGACGTTGTAGCACAAGTTGCATTGCGTCTTCCCTATGGCCATGCTATGTGTGTGTGTTGTGTGGTGCCACTGTCTCAGTCCCGGTGTGTGTGTGTGTGTGTCTTCCTCCCAGGTGCTCCTCACATCAATGGCTCGTCAGGTCCCAGCAGTGTCAATGGCATTCACACCTGCAAAGGTGAGCTCTGCCTCCAGCTGTCTCCATCTCTACTTTCTCATTAGCTCCTGAGAAGGAGCCTCTGTGGATCATTCTCCAGGTCACTGTGAGGGATCACTGCGCTGTCTCACTGCAGTATCTGACACTGTCCCGTCTCTGTCAGCTCTGTCTGTGCAAAACATCTGTCTTTACTAGTTTAAACTTCTATTGACTTTGACGTTTTACTTTTCTTTTTTTAATCTTTCCTCCATTTTGCAATACACCCATCAGTGTTTCTCCTCTCTCCTCCTGCGCCCTCAGACCTGACGGAGCTGCAGCTCGCTGTGTCCGATGTGAACGGTCGATACGAGACGCTGGGCGGGGAGCTGAAGGAGCGCCTCGGTCGCCAGACGACCTCGCTGGAGCAGCGGCAGAAGGCCAGTCAGGGCGCCGACGAGCTCAAGAGCTGGCTGACAGACAGGGAGCACAGCCTGACGCAGGGGCAGGCCGCCTCCCCCTCCAAGCCCGAGGCGGTACGCGCCCAGGCCGAGGAGAACAAGGTACTGGACCGGGCCCATCTATAGGCCATGTGACCCTTTTCCTACATGAGCACTGGCCACCTCTCCACCCCCTTTCAGTTTTTATGGGACCCACTTAGACACTCGCATGTCCGCTGCTATTATTGCTCAAACCTTGATTGGGTTCTGTAGCTCAAATTCCAGTGAGCTGGAAACTTGGAACGTGAAGCCCAGTAACAGGACAATAGGGAAGACTCTATGTGGCCACATGGTGGCGCTGCAATCAACGCCTCAAAAAAAACATCTGTTTTGGAAAGGCCTACCCTGAAGGCTCCTTTTCATGGACCCATCAGAAACACACGGGATGTTTTTCCTGTGATAGGATACGTATGTAAAATCAAACAGGTGCAGGGGCCTTGTGCTAATTTGGCCATAAACTAATCACAGGTTTCCCCAACATCGCCAAACCTTTTAATCACGCATTTGAAACCTTTTCCCAAAGTGCTTCCCAAGAAATGTCACTGGCTGGACTTTGAGTATGTGATGTAAATTCTGGATTACAGCCAATTATTTAGGTTGGTTTATGTTCATATCGGCGTCCTTCTCGCTTTCTCCTCAAGGCCCTGCTTTCACAGCTGGCCGAGCACTCTGGGAAGGTGGAGGCGCTGAAGAGCACGCTGAGGAAGCTGATCGCTGACAATCCTGACTCTCCTGAGGCAGACACCTGGAGGCAGCAGCTGCAAGAGATTGGTGGGTACTGCAGACAACAAAAAGAAGGAATGACATGGCAGGATTGTGTGACAACCATTGGCAAGAGGCTGGATAGATTACAGCTCGGTCTCCGATCATGCAGATACCAAACACTAGTAGTTAAGTGATCCGACAAGGAATACCTCGCTGAGGGGTTATGAAAATACTGTGCGGTCACACAGGTGACAATCCTGTTGTGGTCAAAGTATATTATTCTGGAACACGAACCAGTTAAAACCCTTCGTTCAGTCAGTATCAGTATCGATGTGTCAACCTCATCATGCCAGTCAACAAGAATGAGTAATAAAACTGAAGTAGCAAAAGAAAAAGCGTGAGGAGGAGGAGGAGGAGGTGGGGGGGTCTTAGAAACGAGATTAAGCGTGGTAACTGGCGTTTTATTGAAAACCGTTAAAAACCCATCGGCACTGCATCATTTTCTCTAAGCGATGGCGCTCTCCAGAGAGAGCGTGGGATGTGTTCCTGTCGGAGCTGTTTGTTCTCTCGCATACTTGATATTTTTACCAGGGCCTCCTATGATGTAACCAAGACAGAAATATTTAAGAGCGCGGCCTTCATATCCCATATCTTATAAGGCATTTTTAGACTGAATACACACACAGACGCTCAGAACGTGATTCGGGGAGAAACCGGCAGCGGGGAGGAGTAAGAAGAGAGTCAAAGGATGAAGAATGTTTGTTAGGTTTGGTTTCATCATTATCACTGTTTTTTTTTCTCCGGTGTGTTGTACTTGGCCACGTGCTCCAAACGAATGCCTCGCAGCATTTCACCTCTACTGCGCTGTCCACACAGTCACACTTTTGTTTAGGTTGTCATTTATATATGAATTACCTTCAGTGGGGTAGAAGAGCTCTAGGAGCAGCATGTGGACGAGGACTGACGGGACACTGCAGTGACTCACTATCGCCTCTGCAGGTACAAGTGGTATCACAGGGGACGAGTCTAACACATTGCACCTTTTAGTGGTGGACCACTTAAAAAGCAAAGGAGAACATGCAACAATGTTTGATGACCAAAAACTGCTTCCTCGCCTCTATTGGTGATGTTCCCTCAGACTCCCGCTGGCAGACGGCCAATCAGGCCGCGGCCGAGAGGCAGACGGAGCTGGAGGCGTGTGCCGACAGGCTGGGCAGCTTTGCCTCGGCGGCGGCTCAGCTGGGCCCGTGGCTGAGGGAGAAGGAGCTGATGATGAGCGTGCTGGGGCCGCTGAGCATCGACCCCAACATGCTCAACACGCAGAGGCAACAAGCGCAGGTATGTGAGCGGAGAAGTTCCAGAAACGCCACCGTCAGCAGAAATACATTAAAAACAAGGAACCATCAAAACAACCAGTGTTTTTAATCATTTCTTGAACTATAAATACACATATTAACGCTTTCCGCTAGTACATTTCTGTTGTTTTGACACTGCAGTTAAGTTATGGAGGCAAGCTGATTATGAGGATAAGAATATATTTTAATGCTTCACATTCTTAAGAAGGACTGGACATGGTACAATTCAAATTCCAAATCACAATCCAATATTCCATTTTGCTGTGTATTGCACCCCTAAACTACACACAAAGTCAATGCAGTAATATTAGCTTGATGCTGTCACCACACGAAATGATGTGTATAAACATATGTGCATAAACCATATTTTGAGTGTTGAGCTGCTACAATGTTAGCAAGGCCAATCGAATCGAGTGTTTTAAAAGTAGTTTGCTAGTTTTCTTTGGGAGGGACAAACATTATGTGGTTGTTTCAGTGTCCCTTCCATCCATTTATTGGAAATACAGCTCAAAACAGATTTATTTGGGCTACATACAGCTAAATATGTTATGAATCCAAATGATCCCACAAGTAATGCAACGCCAAAAATCTGTTTGGTGTGAGCAACGCACTTCTTTTGTCAATGCAATTCCATTTTTCCCGAAACCCGCTATTTAAGTTCCTGATTAACCACATAACCCCCTCTCTCCAAGTTCATGCTGCGTGAGTTCGAGACCAGGCGGCCACAGTTCGACCAGCTGACCCAGTCCGCCGAGGGGATCCTCTCCCAGACTGGCGACTCTGCTCAGGACCCCGAGGACCTGGCGGAGGTGCGGTCTGAGCTGGGCTCCATCACACAGCAGTGGGAGGACCTTACAAACCGACTGACCCAGAGATCGAAGCACATTGACCAGGCCCAGGGGACCAGCGGGCGGTACCAGGTGCGTCTCGCCTGGATTGGTTGAATGCTGTCGCGTTAGACCGCGCCGTCTCCTAACCCCCCTCCTCCCGCCCAGGACTTGCTCCGAGAGCTCTCCTCCAGCGTTTCTGCTCTGGCCGAGAGGCTGGACGGTCAGGCCTCGCTGAGCGCCCAGCCCGAGGCGCTGAAACGCCGCCTGCAGGAAACCGGAGAGATCCGCTCGGAGCTGGAGAGACGTCGCACGGAGCTGGCCGAGGCTGAGCGGCTTTGCGGCGAGCTGAGCGCCATCGTGGCCGAGCCGTACCTGAAGGAAGAGCTGAGTAAGCGCTTGGAGAGCGTCAGCGGGCCGCTGAAGAACTTGGAGGAGCGCGCAGGTTTGTTTGTCTTTTTTCTTTCTAGTCCCAGTCCAGTCCTGCTGGATTTATATTAGTGTTGGTTCTGTTTGATGAATTCATCAGTCACAGTTTGACAGTCAAACAATATTGCATTTCAACCGTAATCCGTCTTTAGCTGGAACGGGAATATTGTTTGGATTGAAATTAAACAAGCAGCAAATCCGCTAAAATAAATACTACAAAAACTCCCTAAATGCTGTTTGTTTGAATTAGTCGTGCGGCGTTTTTATTTCCTCTCCTCCAGCCGACGGCCTGTCTCAGCTGCAGGCCGCCCTGTCGTCCACCCAGCAGTTCCAGCAGATGTTTGAGGAGTTGCGCTCGTGGCTCGACAAGCGGGCCGATCCCGGCGAGTCCCCCGCCGACCCGCTGCCCTGTCAGCCGGCGGCCGTCCACTCCCTGCTGGCGCACACGGACGAGCTCCAGCGAGCGGTCGCCAGCCAGCGAGGCTCCTACGAGCTGATTCAGGCCGAGGGGGCGTCGCTGCTCGCCACGCTGCCCGCGGGCGGAGACGAGCGGTCCGCCCTGCAGTCCCGCCTTGCGTCCTTGAAGCGGGACTGGGAAGGGTTGAACCAGGGAATGTCGGAGCGAGAGGCCAGGCTGAAGAACGCGCTGGGCAGAGCGGAGGCCTACCAGCAGCACCGGGCCGAGCTGATGCCGTGGTTGGCCGAGTGCGACCAGCGAGACGGGGAGATCCAGCCGGCGCTGGACTCTGCGGCGCTGGACGACGCCTTGCAGAAGGCCCGGGGCTTGGCACTGGACCTCGAGAGGAGACAACCTCTTCTTGAGGCCTTCAACACTGCAGCAGATCAGCTGCTGGAACAATGCTGCATCGGGGAGGAAGAGGTACACAGATTTTAGCCTTTGAATTCTTGGTCTAAACTTTTCAACCAGTATTGGTACTTTAAAAGTCCTTAATGAAGGAAACCTCACCGGGTTGCTGCAGGTACGTGATGAGAAGGCCCAGCTGAACGGCAGGGTGGACGGACTGGCCGACAGGCTCCACAACCGCACCTCCCAGCTGGAGGAGCTGGCCGGCCGCCTGAAGGAGTTTGAAGAGGGCCGGCAGGCTGCAGAGAGGAGGCTGGAGGCCGCCAAGCACCAGATTGAAGTCCAGGAGGCCCTGGGACCACAGGTGCTGTTCAGTGGTGTCCTCGTGTCTCTTTGATTGCGCTTTCAAAGGGAAGTCGTTTGCAAGTCCGCTTTGCCTCTCTCCCATCCAGGCCTGCAGCTCGAAGAGCCTGGAGCGGCTGAGGAGTCAGCAGGAGGGTCTGAGGTCCCTGAAGCCTCAGGTGGTCTACCTCAGAGACCTGGCCCAGGGGCTGGTACAGGACGCGCCCCAGACACTGGGAGGCAGCAGCGACGGGGCGCAGAGGCTTCAGGAGCAGGCCAGAGGCACGGAGAAAGAGTACGATGACGTGACTGACAAGGTGAGGAGCATTCTGCTCTTTAATGGTAGAGAGGCCGGCGCCGGCGCTTACAACGTGGGTACTGGTGCATGCAGTGTGCATTCGATACAAATACAATACAAACTACGACGTGAACCTCGGCCAGTCCTGCTCAGATAAAGGGATGAGAATTAAATGCTTTTTGTTGCACTTCCAGATCCCTCAAGGGTGGTTTTGGGTTGATGCTTGATGGTTCTGCGGTTAACACGGGACATTCAACATTGAATATGTTCTCTAATGTAAAGTAACCCACTTTTTGAAGCCTTTAAAGAGTTTTAAAAGGGGCTAAATGAGACTAAGAACAAAAAATGCTGTTGGCGTCTGGTCAGTGAAGCAGTGTACTGAAGCTAACCTGGTGGTTGGCTCAACTCTGCTGCTGCCAGGACATCCTGGTGTATTTGGCAAAGTGCATTTGACATCCTAAATATTCTTTCTGGTGTACCAGACCGTGTGGGTATTGGTCATGAGAAGAGACCTCAAGCGGATACTTCTTTTGTTTTTTTCTAGTAAAGGCTTGAGGCTGTCGGGGCACGTGTTGTTTGGGCGCGTAGCAGACAATTGTGTTGAGCTGATTGAACGCAGAACAACCGCCAGAAGAGTTTGGCCATTTGAGTTAGTCGCCGTATATGGTCATTGTCGACGTTCAACACAGCTTTGTCAATTCAGCACCCGTAGCTTCGACTTTCTGCAATCCAGCTCCCAAATCTTCCATTTAAGGTTCCAGCCATCACACAACCACCTTCCATTATTTTTGGGGGATTTTAATCCTACCGCTCAGCTGCAGGGCAGACGTTACTTTTTTAAATGGTGCACTCACCCCTCTACCTCTCCTTCCTCCGTCAGATTGAGCAGTGCTGCTCCTCCCTCGAATCCCGCTTGCAGGGCGTCGGCGAGGTCCAGTCCAACGTGCGCGACGTCTTCTCGCGCATCGCCGACCTCGACGACGAGCTGGACTCCTTCAGCCCCGTCGGACGCGACGCCGACTCCCTCGCCTCTCAGGCCGACTCCCTGAAGGGCTTCCTGCTGCGTCTGTCCGACCTCAGGGCGGAGCTGGAGGGTCACACGACGGAGTGCACCACCATGCTGCGGCGGGAAGGCTCCTCCCCCGACCTCCTGGCTCTCAGGAGGGAGTCGGAGGCTCTGAGCCGCCAGGCGGGCAAGGTGAGGGAGGAGGTTGATGATGATGATGGCGGTGGAATTGTTCAGCTCCATCTATGTGACGTATAACTATTTATTTAGAGTTCCTTCATTATGTACTCTGTTCTCCAGCTGAGCGAGCGCGGCCAGGCCAGGTTAGACCAGATCGAGGACGCGGCTGAGAGGGTCCGAGAGTTCTACAGGCTGGTGGCCCTGCTGCAAGGCCTGCTGGGAAGGGCCGAGGACGGGCTGAACGCTCAGGGCATGGTCGGCACGGAGGTGGAGACGATCAAACAGCAGCTGCAGGAGTTCAAGGTAGGCCGGCCTGCTTATTTACACCTGTGTGAATGTGGTGGAGGTGTGTGAAGGGAAAAGGATATCTGTGCGTTGAGGAGGATCACTGAACCCTTCTCTCCTAATGTAGCATGTTCTGCAGCACACGTGTGAGTTGTGAGTGTGAGGACACGTGTATTCTCATTGGCCGAGGCAGCCATGATATCCACTTCATTACGTGACCTGTGAGAAACCAAATTACATACAGCCATGTGCTGCTGTCTGGAATCTGTCTGTATTGAGAGGTGTGTGTGTGTGTGTGTGTGTGTGTGTGTGTGTGTGTGTGTGTGTGTGTGTGTGTGTGTGTGTGTGTGTGTGTGTGTGTGTGTGTGTGTGTGTGTGTGTGTGTTTATGGACTCACACACAATCACGCTGCTGGATCACAAATAGGACACCTGTGATATTTTCTGAGTGACCGGTATAAACGCAGGTCTTGTGCAGGAATGGAGGAGGATCCATGTTGGTTTGATTCCCCTCCTGTGGTATTTCAGCGGTGGTGGTGGTGCGTCAAAGAGGACTTCCTCTCCATCGTAGCTGACCTCAGGAATGCGCTTTGCTGGCACCTCCATTGTGTTTCATTCCTCACTTTATGGGCACAGACCTCTCCTTCAGTCTTGACTACTGTCATCAAGTTAATTAAGCACATCTTTCCTGCCATGATGTAACATCCTGTCCACTTTAGAAGGGCATGCTAGTGTCTCTGAAATCCCCTCGCACGCCAGAAGGTCATGTGTTTTCTTTGAAGGGATCGTTGAGTCGCGCGACAGGAGAGCCAATAGTTTACATGCATTTGGGAAATGAGGCGGGATTCCTGCTCGTTCACGGACAGCGATCAGCTCGGCTGTGGACGAAGACGTGTGGGTGGATCAAAGAACCTACTTGTCTCCGGTCCGTGGGACCTTTTTTCTCAAGGTTGTCTTCGTTCTTATCCTCTTTCCCTCGTCTTGGTTTGATTATTTGGATTATTTACATCTCTTTGCTGACCTACTCACCCCTCTGCGTCTGCTTGTTTCTTCTTCGTCGCAGTCATCTGGTTCTGCCCCCCCCCCCTCGGAGCCTTAATGAAAGCAGGCCGAGTTAATGTGTGTCAGAGAACAAACAGACGGGGCAGATAAAGAGGTGGTGAAAGAGGGAGAGAGAAAGAGCGCTGTGAGAAGCTGACCAGGCTACATTTGATCCAAAGAGAGTCGGCTCTCACCATGAGAATGAAGCCGCTCCGTGTTGTTGTGAAAGGAATGAAGCAGGTTTACAGGTGTGCCAACAATCGGCTTCAAGAAGTGTGCATTAATAATATAGTTCGTTGCTTTGTCTTCCCGTACAAAACACTTCTTGGAGAACAATTGTGCCGGTCTCCTTTCTGATCCCTGCGGGGATTTTTACAGGAACAGTTTTTGGAAAATTAAATAAATAAACTTACTAGTGAAACCTGAATGCATAAAGAGAGATAAAAGGGGATATAACTTGTGTCTAGAACAGTTTGTAAGAATCAATTATTCAAAATAATAAATACATGCAGTCCATCGACTTAATGTGCAGTATTTTAAGTAACAAATAATTACTTGAAGGATTCCTTTTCGACAACGGAATTTCTTTATTACCAAAGCTGCTTTTGAGGTCATATTTTATGAAGTCATAACCTAAAATAAAAAGTCATCTTATTTGAATAAAGTGATTGATTCTATTTGTGTAATTAAATCAGTAATTGCTTTTGACCGCAGTGAAAACGGCAACTAATAATATTTTTTTTTCTAATTTTCTTTTTTCAATAAGCTTTGAATGGGATTAAATGTTTGGGTCAAACGGGTCAACGAGCCCATCAACATATATATTCTGCCTCACTGTGAACTATGCAGAAGTAGCAGACTTAAAAACCTTTAACCATTCAGGACATCCCTTCTGTTTAGTTTCATTTCCATGCATGATTTAGAAAATCCATTTAAAGAGGGAAAAGAAGGCCCAGAGAAGATGACATCTAGGTGATAATCCCATCACCCTGCTTGAGATCGTCCTGCATCATGGCTGTGAAGTGAGCAGCTCACGGCCCTTGTGAGGAGTAGAACGTTGCATAGCTGCTGTCTGCGGGGTGTGTAGAACACGGGGACGAGCTCCGTCACCATGTGGGGCTTTAGAGGGATATTAATGGACATGGACTGTTGAGAATATTAAGATTCACAAGATCGCAGGTCGCTCAGAGACACATGGACGGCTTCCATCGGAGCACATATTTGCCTCTACACCCCCCCCCCCCCCCCAAAAAGAAAGCTGTGAATATTTCTTTGGTCGTCTCCTCTCTGAAGCCCTCCCCCCGGTCCTGCTTTGTTTCCACCTCCCTCTACCTTCTGCCCCCCTCTGTCTTCTTCTGTAACCGATCCAGCTCGGGCTCATTTTCAAACCTAAACATGTCTGTCTGGCTCCTAAACGGACCAGGCCCCCGCTTCTCCTCGCCCCTCCCCCATCAGACCCCATTCCCAATCTAGAGGGATGATGTCATGCCGATGCTTAGAAAGACGAGGGAGTTCAGGGTGTGTGTGTGTGGTGGGGGTTGTGGGGTGGGGGAATGGGTGGAGGGTTGCCATGGAATAAAGAGTCACAGGAGTGGGAGGTGATGTAGTCAGATTATTTAAACTTTCCAACGGTGATCTCACAGAGAATTACTGTGTCAACGAGGGAGCGACTGGGACGGAGCAGCTTTCTGTCTGTCTGTCTCTTAACAACGCGCGTATTTCAATAAAATATGAAAGCTACGGTACCATACGGAAACATTAGTACTCACCGGAATGTCTGAGGCAGCAGAAAAACCAACTTGTTCCTTTGTTTAAAGTGCCAGCGTGGGGACGTCTTCAGCTCTCTACTGACCAGCAGGGGGCGACTCCTCTGATTCTATGAGGGAATTACTCTTTCAAGTCTTTATTGAGTAAATTATAGTGCATTTAGAATCAAATGGACCATAAAGAAGGGGAGGCTTTTTGGGGGGGGGGGTGATCAACACTCCTCAGCGTTCCAATTATGGCATCTGTTTTTCATTGGCTGCAAAAACGGTTGCAGTCCAAGAAGTCGAGGACAAACTCAAGCCTTCAAAACGTTCGCCCCCAGACGAACGGGGGGGGGTGCATACTTGTTTTGTACGGCCTCTGTGGGCAACACAAACAAGGGAACCTGTTCGTCTCTTGGCTCCCTTAGAAGCTACGCAGTCGGAGGGCTCATCCTGAACTAAGGGCACTATGAACTAAAAGAAATATATTTACTCAATATTCCATTTCTGCCAATGCATCCACCCTACATTCTGCCCACTGGTCACTGTCCCGCTGCCTTTGAAGCCACCAGGAACTCTCCTTTCGGGTGATAAACTGGATCAGCAAGATGCCACCTTGGTTTCGCAGGTCAACGGGTTTGTACACCGTACATGTAGAACATACACATGTGTACTATTGTGGAATGTCTTTGTATTTAGGGTCCCTCTGCAAGCCGTGTGTGTGTCATAACAGGATGCCTCTAATTCCAGTCTTTTCTGGGGTGCAATCCAGAATCTCAGCTGTCCGCTCTCCTGTCCCTCACACATAAATACACACACACACACAATAAGGTGTGGCATCAACATCCCCCCGGCTCCCCCCCATCCCCAAGCAGCTGACATAGTGTCCGGCTGGGATGAGAACACACACGCTGGTTAACTTTTCATAGCGGGGGGGCGAAGCTGCACATGCCTGTGAAGGGCTGGTCAGTCTGGGTGAAAGGCAGGAGGCCCGAGTGTGTCTCTGTGCACACACGTCTGTGAAAGTCCCGGCCTAAATCAAGACCGCCCGTCCGCCGCTGTCTGCACCTCCATCCCCTCCTCCCTCATACCTCTCCCCTCCTCCTTTAGGCTCCACCTCAACATCCGTCCCCTGTGAGCCCGTGACTCGCCGTCCTCTCCCGCACAGACTGTGTCAGCAGCTCTTTAAAGACGGGAGCCGGTCGAGTGTGTGAGTGTGTGTGTCCATGCGGTGCGGCGGTGTTTGCATATCAATCTTTATAATTAACAGTTGGGACGACAAGTTTAGCTTGTTTAGAAACACTACTCTGTCGCTTATCACATCAACGTAGTTGCTGTTCAGATGTGTGTCGATTCTCTCCGAAGCACACGAGGACACTGACCAGTAGGACGGGCGTAAAACCAAAATAAACCCAGTGGGAGTTAGTTCCGTCCAAATAGTCTCCCGCTGTTGATGGGCCGTAGGGGATGCGGTCCAGGTGGACCCTGAGTCGGCGGCTTGTGGCCTGGAGGGTTCAGTGGGTCACGACCCAGTAACCCTGCCGCGACCCGCCTGCTCACCCAACTCAACTGCAAGCGCAGCGCTGCGTGCTGGCGCCCGGGATAGTTCCTGCACTGCTTCCCCTCTCGCTGTGAGTGTGTGCTGCATTGATCCCTGTGCATAGAAGTGCACAGGCCTTACTGCTTTTCTCCCTGCGTGTGTTCGTTTAGTGTCTGAGGGGCTGATCGGATCACCCGAACATCATCTCTCTAATCGTATAAACGGATTTGTCCGGCCGGACTTTCCTGTAACCTACTGACACAGACACACACACACACACACACACACACACACACACACACTCACCTTTCTATCTGTGTCAGTGACTGATGGAGAAAGTGATTAATTGCTCTGACTTTGTATGTGTGTGTATATATTTAACATCTTCGCCTCTCCACTCACAGGTTCTGTATTGCCTCAGCTGTTGTGAGTTAGCGAGGCATGCTTCAGCCTCTCCCTCTTTTCCCTCTTTCCTTTTCTCGGTTCAGTGACATCCTAGGCTCACTCCGGAGGTGAGAAATATTAATAGGACACATCCAATATGATTTGATCTATTTTCAGAATGCCGATCCAAATAAATGCATTTCGTTAACAAAGTAATGTCACCGGTCCTATTTAGGTGTGAAAAGGAAAAACAAGTCTTAATTGTGGATGTGCGAAGCCTGTAGGGAGGTGACGCGTCTCCTTCAC